GTCAGGAGGGCTAATGCTAGCATGCTGCCACAAGCTAAGGAGGCACTTAGAAAGCAAACATCTTTGAAAGAAACTTGGCCTACGTCATAAACGAGCTAGATATGAAACAGAAACAGCAACACTATTTTTTGGATTGCATGAAAGTACCTAATGCGGTGATAGAGGTGAGTTAAAATCAGAGCCTAGCTGATATAAGTGGGGGGGTTTCAGACTGATACTAATGTGTGGTGATTTAAAAATCCAATACACAAACGTAAGCAGATCTCGCTAACATTTGTTATGTGTTGTTACTTCTGAGCCTTAATAAAATACAGTGGCAGCACAGTTGTGGAGAACTTAATCTGGCTGACTGCTGGTTTGTGGTGCTCCGAACATGTGTCGGTGCAGAGAGCCTTCTGATGGAACACCAGAGCTCATGTTTGAAGATTATTTCTTTCCTTTACCTAAATAAAGCAAATTGTTGTCTGTTTTAAATGCTAACATCAGTAAGTCTATAAAGAACTAATATCGGCTGATATTAAATCTGGTTGAAATTCAGTTTAAAAAAAAAAAAAACCCTGCAGATCTCATGATCAGTCTAAATGCTGCAAATGGGCAAAAATTAAGTAAAAACTGCAATCAAAAGATAAACTATTGACACGTTAGACATTGGACCTCTTTTCTGCAGATACACGATTCACCTGCAGGCCTCTTCTGTTGCTTTATAGTCATTACATCAGTCTGGCCACAGATATTTCTCAGTGAAGGTCCCCATGTTAGTACTCCTGGTTCTTTCTGGGGTGTTTCTGTCTAAACATTCACATGAGCCTGCTGGCTTCATGGCTTGCGATATCAGTCAGTACAGAGCATGGTGGGACTCTGCAGCCAACCTCAAAGGTGGCTCTCACACGTTCTGAAGGAAAATGCTGGCGAGTGACTTTAGTCCACACGGGGGATTAGAGTGAAAACTGTACAGGGATTTAGGGACATTAAACAAGGGGCTAGCTCATTTACAACATCTGAGATCACACCATCAGCTGCCACTCATCTGAAAACTAATCACAAAATAGAGCGCTGCGTGATGTTCTTACTGCGGCCGTAAAGGGAGAGCCCGTGTTTTAGGAATGTTTAAGAGGAAAGGTCGCACTTTGGTGTCGAGAAAAAAGAAAAGGCTTTTGTCCCGAGCCATCAGTTTGCACTAATATTCAGCAGTCATGCAAGAGCTTGGAAGGATTGTAGTAGGAATGACCTTTGCAACCCAACTGTTTAATTATTGTAGTATAAATGTAAACATATGCATTTGACTCATTTGTTCTTCTTTGAAAACAGAATAAACCTGGCAATATAAACAAATCCTTCATTAGAAGTATCCAAATGTTCAAAGAATACAGCATTTTCATGATTTTTATTTCTCACAAATTGTATTTTTTTTTTTTTTTTAAGATAACGATGAGTTGAGGAATAAAATGTACTGTATAAAATGTACTGTATAAAGTAGAGAAGATGTATCTATTGAAAGGTTGGGCTTAATTTTATCTCTTTTTTTACATTTCCAAAACAATTCTATTAGTATTTTGTTATTTAAAGGTTAAAGTTAATTGAAAAGAACATTTTGTATTGTTGTCTTTTCATTCACTCAGGTTACCTATAAATTTATCTGATTTACTGTAGGCTTCACTTTGTTGGATTTCACTGCAGTCCTCTTTCTGCATCATCACCAGATAGAAAGCTCTATAATATTTATCCTCTCCAGGGAGGACAGCTAAGTGCATGTGCACAGCTACTTCTTCTCTTTCTGTCTTGCAGGGCACGCTGACATTTACTCGATATGGCTACGTTGTTTTTCCAGTGGTTTAGGTATAGTGACAACCGTGAGCTTGGGTTTTTGTTGCAGAGGGAGGAGGAGGCCAGGAAAAAGGGGCCAGATGAGGAGAGGAAAAAGAGATTACAGAGAAAAGGGAAAAAGTCTGAGGCAGGAATCTTCAGAGAAACCTTCCTAAACAGTAACATCAAATGCTTATTTGACCTTTTATTTACTTGAAATCTTCATTCACATAAATTGAACTTAATGGGTGAGTATAGTGTTACTAACATTAACTAAAAAGTAACAATACAAATTCAGGGCATGTAACTGTTGGGTGTATTCTTCCTATGTGTTGAAAGAAGGGTATAGGGAGAAATGGGGGAGGGGATTGGGAGGGGAAAGGGGGGAGAACATTTTTCATTCTGTGTTATCTTGTGAGGCATTTCAAGGACAGGGGTTTTAATGAGTGCACACTGGAAAGGCCGATGATTTTAGGATGCTGAAGGATGACCACCAAACATACTGCTGTATCTGCTAAAAAAAACAACCATACTGAAACAATGTAGCCACAAAAATGAGCCAGCAGTTTTTTAAACATCACTTTCTATCTTTGTAAGAAGTTTAAAGAGAAATAAGTGTATGACAAAAGAAGCCCTCTGGATAAATATACAGAGAATACATTTCTATCATCAGTCTTTCCCCTTGAACCCACATGTGTAAAAGCCTAGTTGGCTGTGGGTTTGATTCCCAGTGGGGCCATGGAAACAAACATGTATTCTTCCCCCTCCCTCCCCTTTGTTAGCAGCCTTGGAGAAGAGCACCAAATGGCATCTTTTATATCCGTAGGCACATCTGCTCCTCACCAAGAGAAACCATTGCATGTATTTTCCATTCATCGTGTGTGTAACACAAAGAGTGAGAACATGAGAAAACTAACGATGCTGTATTTACCTGGGAATTCTTATTAGATTCCCAATGTGCATCTAAAATATTTATGATTTATTTAATGTCCAGTGCACTGCTCTATACATCATTACCGACACGAGCTTTTATATTTCTAATGCCTGTTGTGATACGTACAATCCCTGGTCACTTTATTAGGTACACCTGGCAAGTGCTTAATAACATGAAGAATTAAGAGCAGCCTTAATTCGTCACTGTGGAGGTTCAGTAAGGTGCTGGACACATTCCTGAAAGACTTGAGGTCCATGTCGGCATCATAGCATCGCACAGTGATGCATAGATCAGCTGACTGTAGAGCCCATACAGTGAACTCACTGTCATGTGAAAGATGATTTGAGCTTTGTGACATGGTGTGCTATCCTGCAGAAGATGGGCACACTATGATCACAAAACGTGTTCAGATGGTATCAAGGGGCCCAAAGTTTGCCAAGATTATATCCCCACACACCAGCACCAGGCTGAATCGCTGATACAAGATAGGATGGATCCATCCTTTCATGTTGTTTGTGCTAAAGACTGGCCCTACCATCTGAATGTCACAGAAACGGAGACCAGGCAACATTCTTTATATCGTTTGGTGAGTATAAACTGTAGCCTCAGATTCTTGTTCAGTTTGAAGGGTCAGTGTGTTGTGTGTTCAGAGTCCCTCTTCTCCATACCTTGGTGGTAACACGTGGTTATTTGAGCTATTGTTGCCTTCCTGACAGCTTGAAGTAGTCTGGCAATTTGCCTCTGACCTATGGTATCTACTCATTAGATATTTTCTCTTTCTTAAACCATTTTCCGTGGAGATGGTTTGTGTGGGAAGATCTCAGCAGTTCAGCACTTTCTGAAATTGTCAGACCAGTCCATCTGACCAGTTCCTACCCTAAGCCTAACCATTAAAAATCAATGCGAACTCTAACCTTCAGCCTAAACCTAACCATAACCTAATTGTACTCCTGACACTAAAACCACATTTTGAGCCTCAAAAATGCCTTCAAACCAGTGGGGACGGGCATTTAGTCCCCACAAGTATAGTAGTATGCCAATTTTGTGTCCTCACAAAGATGTCTAAACATGTATACACACACACACACACACACACACACACACACACACACACACACACACACACACACACTGAAAACAACAAACTGTCAAATTCAGGAAAAGACAGGAGGTACCATCAATTTTTTTTGCATGACACATCCTTTATATGTTAAAGAAAGCATTTAAAAAATTTGAAGAAGGTGTGTATGAAGAAGGCTGAAACAGACAGTACCATCTTTTTGGTGCCTTAATTTGGAAAAACCCACATTTTTATTTCAGAGCCTCCAAGCTGTTCTAGCAGAGACGCGTTTAAGTTTTCACCCAGTCTGCTGATTTTTAATGTGCGCTCTGAATTCTGTCGCGAGTGCCACAAACCGAACCGTGCATTGCTCGAAGCAGACTATTTACACCACATTATCCAGTGCTCACTGTTAAGGTTTCATTTTAATTTTAATTGAAGCCTCTAACTGATATCAAACATCTCTGTGAGCTCTTCAAATGAATGCAGCGGAAGCTGATGAATATCAGAAAATTGAACAGGAGGTTTTTCATTGTTGTTGTTTCGAATGTTTCTGTTTCTTAACTCTCAGCTGGCACAGTGTGATTTCATGCAGAGGTTTAGAAGCTATTTTTATGTACCTGCTTTCAGCTGTCAAAGGGACGGGCTGAAGAGATGAGATGCCCAAATCATTTTAAGTCTATTTTAAGCTTTGCTATTGTAAAATGCTTTGATGCCAAGGATAGGTACTGCATCATTCATGAACAGGAAAGGACCTATTGACTCCTTATTTCTGCAGAAGTCTCCTTATTAAACCATGAATTTTGAGTCTGAATTTCTTTGCTGGCTAAACTTGTGCGGTTGAATAAGGGTTAAGAGATATCTAATAAGGACGTGTGAAGTCAGTTTAGTTTAATTTAATTTATTTATCAGGTGCGAAAGGCTCTTCACCTGTGGGGATGGAGCAATGGCACTTCTTTTTCTCTCCTCTGCATGTGCCAGTGTGCTCACATACATATATATGTATTTTTGTATGTGAGTAGCGCATTAAAGCAAATCCACTGATATTTATATTGGCTCATTCAAAACATATTTCATCAAGCATGACTGTACAGATGATTTTTTCAATTTCATTTTTATATGTTACCAGGGAGACTTTATCCCATCCTTTATTTCACACACAGGTTGATATCAGATATTATGACAGCATTTGATTTTTCGCAGGGCGTCGGGCGCGATGGCTAATGCCTCTCCAGACCTGGACAACGCGGAAGCCCAGCGCCAGCTTAACAACAACAACCGACCAATCGGCTCTGGCTTCTGGGAGACAGAGTGTACCAGCTCCAAACTGTTCGAGTGCTCCCGCATCAAGGCCCTGGCAGGTCAGAGGTCACAAGCAGATCAGTGCACATGCTTACTCACATTTACACAAATACAGACACTGCAGACATTTGACCGTATTATCTGTTCATATACAAAATGAATAATACCTACTTTCAGGGCATTTTTAAACAATTAATCAAATGCAATTTAATAAAATGTAATTTATATAGCACCCAGTCACAACAACAGTTGCTTCAAAGTAGAGCTGGGCGATAGAACGATAACGATATGTATCGCGATATAACTTTTACTCGATAGAGAAATTAAGCTATCGCGATAGACCTCGCCGCTCTTGTCCTCTTAAAAAAAAAAAAAAAAAAAAAGGGTCAGCCAATCAAAATCAAGTAGCGCAGAGCCGAACCAATCACAGCCGCAGCGTCACGTCGTGTGACTTGTTACGTACAGCACAAGTGCCACGCCGCACGTGTGTTTGTTTGGGAAGCAGCCAGCGGGTAATGGAGGAAATGAGTGTGCTGACTAGAAAAATCAACCGAGCGTGACCGAAGAGAAAACAGATGATGGTTCCAATGCCGGAGAGATTGTCGAACGGAAGAGCCATAGAAGTTCCGTAGTGTGAAGGTATTTCGGCTATTTCAAGTCTGACAAAAAACAGAGTAGCGTGCACTGTAAATTGTGCCGAAAGCAAGTCTGGAAATACAATAAACTGGTGCATGCGTCACACTGTGCGCCACGTTATTGTTTCGGTGAAATGAATTTCTACAATACTGTTACTGTTAATTCTACTCTCTGCAGTGTTTAAATGCTTACATATACACACAGTTACTGTCCCTCCACACACACGACTCGGTTCTGCTTCTATGCCCCAGCTTTGTTTCCTTTTTCCCACCGAGGCTTCTAGACTTCTGATTGGCCAACATTTCTGCACGGTTAGGAATCTAGCGCCACCTGCTGCTTTGGCATGTTCATAGCACCGTTTTCCTTCATTTCTGCCTTTATGTGTGGACGGGATTATTTTTTAAAACGAAAACGGAAAATCTCCGTTTTCAAAAATACCCGTGTACGTGTGGACGTAGCCTCAGTCTCTGACTGGAAGCGCTAATTCGTCATTCGGCTTTTGTCAGACTAAAGTAACTGTTAAAACTGTTTGAAAAGCTCAGCTATACAACAAGGAGAGATTGAGAATTTCCTTTTAGTTCTCAGTTTATTTGATATTGACAAAAGTTAGTCAGTTTTGTCTGTTCTTCTGTAAAACAAACTAAGATTTATTTTTAGAATTAATATTTTGTTTCTAAGTGGAATTGACAATTTAGTCTGTTTCGTTTGTTCTATTTTGAAACTTAAACGCTTTAGCGGCTGTCTTTTGTGTAGTTTGCAATATTTGCCTTTATTTATCTGAAAAAGTCTCATGTTCCTTAAGTACATCTACCCTGTTGAACTTATTATGGGAAATAAATATTTAAATAAAAACAAGCTGCTGATTATTTCACATTTTACTTGTGAGCAACAGCACATTTAAATCTTACAAATATAGTTATTTGGCTTATATCGTGATAGATATCGTTATCGCCTGAAATGAAAAAAACATATCGTGATATGAAAAAATCTCATATTGCCCAGCTCTACTTCAAAGTGCTTTACATTTTTAGATTTTTCATCTCTTAACTGTTTAATAGTGAATTATGTGCACCTTGTATTTTAGGTATTTGAAGAAAATATTTCATAAAGTATTAGATCGACTTTGTCAGGCAAGGGGCAAGCATGAGCGTGCATGCAGCTGAAAGCAACAAAAGGTCTTTCAGGGCCATTTGAAGTGATTCCGATCTAATCATTTCACATATACTGTATAAAGCTGATATTATTGTATCTGTTCCTTTAACTTAAAATGTCTTTCCTAATTTCCCTCAGATGAACGAGATGCAGTGCAAAAGAAGACTTTTACAAAGTGGGTCAACTCTCATTTAGCCAGGGTGTCCTGTCGCATATCTGACCTTTACAACGACCTGAGGGATGGATACATGCTCACCAGACTGCTGGAGGTGCTCAGTGGAGAGCTGCTGGTAGGAGCCGTCATGGTTTTAGTTTTGTAATCCTTCATTTTTGTTCATTCTGTCAGTTTCTTCCTGACTGATTTCATTTTCAGAATCAGAATCAGAATCAGAAAGGGTTTTATTGCCAAATGTTGAGCGGGTTTACAACATTAGGAAATTGCTGCGGTGCTTCAGTGCAAGCATACTGTCATAAATTAAGCTTAAATAGACATGAAAATAAAAATGAGAATAAGAATTAAAAGTGCTAAGTAGATAGATAGACATATACATGAGTGCAGGTGGTGATCAGTGCCAAACATGGAATGATGCAGTGAACACAGCGTAGGGTCATGTGTTAGTGGTGGGAACAGTCATACGGTTATTGTTCATGTGTTCAACAGCAGAGGGGAAGAAACTGTTCTTATGGCGAGAGGTTCTGGTGCGAATGGACCGGAGCCTCCTGCCTGAGGGGAGCAGGTCAAACAGACTGTGTCCAGGGTGAGAAGGGTCAGCTGTGATCCGAGCTGCACGCCGCAGTGTCCTGGAGGTGTACAGGTCCTGCAGAGATGGGAGCCTGCAGCCAATCACCTTCTCAGCAGAGCGCACAGCACGCTGCAGTCTCTGTTTGTCCCTGATAGTGGCTCCAGCGTACCACACGGTGATGGAGGAGGTGAGGATGAACTCGATGATTGCAGTGTAGAATTGCATCATCGTCCGTATTGGCAGGTTGAATTTCTTCAGCTGCCTCAGGAAGTACATCCTCTGCTGGGCTTTCTTGATGACGGAGGTGATGGTGGGCTCCCACTTCAGGTCCTGGGTGATGGTGGTACCCAGGAAGCGGAATGAGTCCACAGAGGTGATGGGGGTGTCAGTCAGGATGATGGGGGGGAGTGGGGCTGTGTGCTTCCTGAAGTCCACAATAATCTCCACTGTCTTCTGGGCATTCAGCACCAGGTTGTTGTGGCTGCACCAGGACACCAGACGTTCAACCTCCCTCCTGTAGGCAGACTCATCCCCGTCCGAGATGAGTCCAATAACGGTGGTGTCATCTGCAAACTTGATTAGCTTGACAGACTGGTGGGTGGAGGTGCAGCAGTTGGTGTACAGGGAGAAGAGCAGGGGAGAAAGAACACAGCCCTGAGGGGAGCCGGTGCTGATGGTCCGGGAATCCGAGACATTCTTTCCCAGCCTCACATGCTGCTTCCTGTCCGTCAGGAAGTCAGTGATCCACCGGCAGATGGGATCAGGCACATTCATCTGGGAAAGCTTGCCTTGGAGATGGTCTGGAAGGATGGTGTTGAAGGCAGAGCTGAAGTCCACAAACAGGATCCTGGCGTAGGTTCCTGGGGAGTCCAGATGCTGCAGGATGAAGTGTAGGGCCATGTTGATGGCGTCGTCTACAGACCTGTTGGCTCTGTATGCAAACTGCAGGGGGTCCAGGAGGGGGGCCGTGAGGGTCTTGAGATGGGAGAGAACTAGGCGCTCAAAAGACTTCATGACCACAGATGTCAGAGCCACGGGTCTGTAGTCATTTAGTCCAGTGATCCTAGGTTTCTTGGGGACAGGGATTATGGTAGAGGACTTGAAGCAGGCAGGCACATGACATGCCTGCAGTGAGGAGTTGAAAATGCCAGAAAACACTGGGGCCAGCTCGTTTGCACAGTGTCTGAGGGTGGCAGGAGACACACCGTCTGGGCCGGGAGCTTTTCGAGCATTCAGACTCTTAAACTGCTTCCTCACATCTGCTTCATGAATATGAAGAGTTGTGGTGGGAGGAGGTGGTGTGAAATCTTCTTTTGTGTGGGGTGAGGAGGGGGGTGTTGTAGGTGAACGGTTTGAAGGTGGTGATGGCTCTATGGAGGGGGAATTAGTGTCCAAAGTGCCTCTATTGTTGGGGCCATTGGAGGTGTGAAGGCTGCCTGATGGCTCGTCAAAATGGCAGTAAAAGTCGTTAAGGGTGTTGGCTAAGAGCAAGTCATCAGTGGAGTGGGGGGTTTTAGGCTTGTAGTTGGTGATATTCCTAAAACCTTTCCACACAGAGGCCGAGTCATTCTCTGAGATCTGCTGCTGCATCTTCTCAGAGTGCTGATGTTTAGCAATGTCCACTTCTTTAGTGAACCTGTACTTGGCCTCTCTGTAGCAGTCCCTGTCTCCGCTTCTGAACGCCTTTCTCTTTTCCAGCCACAGCTTTTTGAGTTTAGGAGTAAACCAGGGTTTGTCATTGTTATAACTCACCCTGGTGCGTGATGGCACAATGCTGTCCTCACAGAAGTGGATATAGGAGGTGACAGTGTCCGTAAACTCGTCCAAGCTGTTAGAAGCAGCCTTCATTGTGTCCCAGTCTGTAGACTCCAAACACGTGCGAAGCTCCTCCACAGCCTCGTTGCTCCACAGTTTTTTGGTCCTCACGACAGGTTTGGAGAGCTTCAGCCTCTGTCTGTACGCGGGGATTAGGTGGATCATGACGTGGTCAGAAAGTCCGAGTGAAGCGCGGGGCACCGCGCGATAGGCCCCGCTGATCGTGCTGTAGCAGTGGTCTAATGTCCTCTCCTCTCTGGTCGGGCATTTAATATACTGCTTGTATTTGGGAAGCTCATGGCTCAGATTGGCTTTGTTAAAGTCCCCAAGAGCAATGATGAGAGAGTCCGGGAATGTCCGCTCCATGTGCAGTATCTGCTCCGCAAGTGCGCACTGAGCTGCCTGCGCATCCGCATCTGCCGGGATGTAAACAGCGGCCAGGATGAATGAAGCAAACTCCCGCGGAGAATAAAACGGTTTGCAGTGAATAAAAAGATATTCCAGAGAGGAAGAGCAGTGCTGAGCAATCACTGTTACATCTGTGCACCAGCCACTATTAATGTAGAAGCAGACACCTCCACCTTTGGTCTTACCAGAGAGAGAGGCCTGCCGGTCCGCGCGCAGCAGATGAAAGCCCTCCAGCTCCGTAAAACATAAGACACAGGAGGAGGCAAAGTCTCTGTTCATGCTTCTCATCAGGGCCAGCTCGTCTATTTTATTCCTGAGTGAGCGTACATTGGAAAGGAAGATCCCAGGAAGAGCAGTTCGCAGTCCACGTCTCCTCAGACGCACGAGTGCGCCGGCTCGCTTACCTCTCTTTCGGCGTCTCACTTTCCTGATCAGAGTCTGCAGTAAATCTGCCGCAGATGCGACAAATATTGGAAGTAAATCCACAGGTGTTGTAGTCCTGTAGTTAAGAAGCTCTTCTCTGGTGTAAGAATATCCAGAGGAGTGCCCAGACACAGAAGTTATGCACAAAAACAAAACAGAAGTAACGCACTGAAGCACCAGGGCATCCATACGCGGCGCCATCTTGGATCATTATCCACTCAGTCCATTCAGTCCATATTTTGACTGAATATTTGCCCTCATTGACGGACTTTTAAAAAATTGAATAAAGAAATTTGAAGGGCGTCTGTAAACTTCACAGATTAGAACATTTAAAAAAAAAATCATATAACCCATAGTGTCCAGGGTCTTTGGCTCTGCAGAAAACCCTTTTCTGGTTATTTTCCACTTGAAAGGAGGGAGCATGTAATCAGTTCTGTCTTTGTTTGTCTGTCTGTTTGTTACCAGTCAGTTACCACTTTGCCTGGTATATGTCTCCTTAAGTTTTCCTTTATTTCACAGTGGGGGCATTTGTAAGAAAGGACTTGCCCTTGTGCTAAAAATATCCCCAGATTCTCCTCAGTGGTTTTTACTTCTGTCATTTCTAAAAGTAAATCCAACCTTTTGACTGTCTTTGTTATTATTTTAACAATGTTTGCTATAGTCCCACATGTAGTATGTCAATAATAACAGTTATCTTATTAAAAGTACTCAAACTCTTCTTCCTGCCACAGCCGAGGCCCACACGAGGTCGAATGCGGATCCACTGCCTGGAGAACGTCGACAAAGCACTGCAGTTTCTTAAAGAGCAGAGGGTTCACCTGGAAAACGTCGGTTCCCATGACATTGTGGATGGAAACCATCGCCTTACCCTGGGCCTTATCTGGACCATCATCCTTCGCTTTCAGGTAAATTTAAAACACAGATTCATCGTGACAGATTATAGCAGTGTGGACATCTGATGAGCCAACTTTGTCACTGTATAGAGAAAAGGTGCTTTTATTGTATTCCAGGATATGAAGTGTTTCTTTACGGATGTAATATTTGAATGCTGGTTTTGCGGAAACTTGCTGTGCAAAGTTGCTGTGATCAGCAGTGCATCGTTTATCTCTTGGTGGTTTGGGGAAGGCTGTCACATGCGCTGCGTCACCAGTGTGCGACAGCCGTGTTTAGTGGATGAAGCCTTAATGTCACTCAGTGTCTGACCGGCAGCAGTCGCCTTCCAGTCTGCTCTTCAGCAAGGACACACGGGCACACTGTTTTATCTACCTTACCTGAGCCGACTTTCATCTGTCTCATCGCACACCCTCTGGCATGTACATACCACACACATGCACACACTCACACACAGGGTTCCAGGCCTCAGCAGCAGTGATACAGGATCACCTTCTTCCCTGTAAGTACAGCAGAAATCTATGGCTTCTCTTTATATTGCTTCAGTGCTACAGCGTGGCATTGGCTCACACTGCTAACATGACATTATTCTGATGCCTCTGTAACATTCACGGTGCACAGTCGCCTATCAGCTTTTCTCCTGGGACTGAGTATTGTCATGCTAGACCTGGCTACCCACCACAAAGCACATTTGCCAGCACTGCTAATAGAATTATCTTGCAGCGTGTGCAACCCTCTGCAGGCCATGCTCATGAGACAGAGAGGATCAACGTTCACTGTGTGCAAGACAGCTCACTGATACAGAAATCTGCAGATACAGAAATCAATAAGTGTGTTGATGTACGCTGATTATTACCGCGTGATGGTTGTGTTTTTGGTAGCGTTTACATACAGTGGGGCAAAAAAGTATTTAGTCAGCCACCGATTGTGCAAGTTCCCCCACCTAAAATGATGACAGAGGTCAGTAATTTGCACCAGAGGTACACTTCAACTGTGAGAGACAGAATGTGAAAAAAAAATCCATGAATCCACATGGTAGGATTTGTAAAGAATTTATTCGTAAATCAGGGTGGAAAATAAGTATTTGGTCAATAACAAAAATACAACTCAATACTTTGTAACATAACCTTTGTTGGCAATAACAGAGGTCAAACGTTTACTATAGGTCTTTACCAGGGGCCCGTTCTTCGTACCTCGCTAAGTAGGTTAGCCGGATTAGATTGTTGACGATTTCGCGTGATCCTGGATCAGTCGGTTCCCCGAAGCTCATCCGGGACTTGCTGTCATAGCAACAGAGCCGTAAGCGTAAACCTGCTCGGGAGCAGGTTTACTTTATGTAAACAGGATTAGATCGCGGCCACGCAGGTATGTCCGCTTCATTTATACGAAAGCAACAGCGATATTTTTCCACTGTTTCACCATAAATAAATATTATCAATGTAACTAAAGGTAATGCAGCACTTGATCCTTTTATTGATGTCACACAGATACATACAGGTCATTTCCTAAAAAAGGGAAATGAACTATTAACATTCTATTACATGTATGTGATTATTACAGATGTAATTCATATTTCAGAGTAGTAATTGTAAATTACTTCGTGTAATCAAGATGAGAGACCACGGCTATAAAAGTGAAGGTGGATTTGGGAAGCCTGTCGCAGCCATGTCCTGTCCGTATACGCGACCAACCCATTGCGGAAGGTGCAAGATTGATAAGGAGAGTCCTCAGAATTCAGCGTATATTGCGGGACAGACAGGATCCTTTAGCTCAGCGCGACAGTGTGCTCATAGAGAGATATCGATATTCCCGTGAGGGTATTATTTACTTAACCAACTTGTTGACGAGGGGGTGCAGGACCACCACCTGTCTTTTTTTCCTCTGCCCTTTTCTTGGTTGCTGTTATGAACAAACTAACAGAGTATTCCAGGCCAGTATTACCTTGCCAAGAGACGCAAAGCAATCTAAGAGATAAATATTACCATTCTGTAGAATACTCCTGTATTCCACTTTTACTTGTTCCCATTTTCTTGTGGGTCCTGTTGTGGCTCTAATGTGAAAGGGGATATAATATAACATATTATAATATAATATAATGCCATATGATATTGGACAATATAGTGTCATATGATAGATCTACCCTACCGCCTACTGGTGTTGGCCAGAGGGGCCGATGGCGCGATATGGCAGCCTGGCTACAACCGTAGCTGCCTCCACCAGTGTGTGAATGTGGGAGTGAATGAATAGTGGTATCGTAAAGCGCTTTGGGTGCCTTGGAAAGCGCTATATAAATCCAATCCATTATTATTATTATTATTAAATTACCTACGAGTTTGATTTGTCAGCAACTTTCTGCCAGCCCTCTCTCCTTGCTTTTGCAGCCTTTGCAGTGTTCTCTTGCGTTTTAATTAAACTCTGAAACTCCTGAAATCCCTCACTCATGAGTTCTTGCTCTGCTGCCGGAAAATACCGAGCACGCCCCTTCGACATTTTCGCCGACCAATCAGCGGGTTGCCGATCAATGTTTCTACTATCGATGCGTAGCCCCTTTTACGACACCCAGTGATGTCACATTCCTGCGTCCAGCTGTAGTAATCGTCAACAGCAGGTGTGTTCGGGGAACCGGATTAGCGAGCTCACGGTTAGCGCGATGATTTGATCTTGGATGTAGTAAGCGACGTACGAAGAACGGGCCCCAGGTTTGCACACACAGTAGCTGGTATTTTGGCCCATTCCTCCATGCAGATCTTCTCGAGAGCAGTGATGTTTTGGGGCTGTCGCCGAGCAACACGGACTTTCAACTCCCACCACAGATTTTCTATGGGGTTGAGGTCTGGAGACTGGCTAGGCCACTCCAGGACTTTCAAATGCTTCTTACGGAGCCACTCCTTTGTTGCCCGGGCGGTGTGTTTTGGATCATTGTCATGTTGGAAGACCCAGCCTCGTTTCATCTTCAAAGTTCTCACTGATGGAAGGAGGTTTTGGCTCAAAATCTCACGATACATGGCCCCATTCATTCTGTCCTTAACACGGATCAGTCGTCCTGTCCCCTTGGCAGAAAAACAGCCCCATAGCATGATGTTTCCACCCCCATGCTTCACAGTAGGTATGGTGTTCTTGGGATGCAACTCAGTATTCTTCTTCCTCCAAACACGACGCGTTGAGTTTATACCAAAAAGTTCTACTTTGGTTTCATCTGACCACATGACATTCTCCCAATCCTCTGCTGTATCATCCATGTGCTCTCTGGCAAACTTCAGACGGGCCTGGACATGCACTGGCTTCAGCAGCGGAACACGTCTGGCACTGCGGGATTTGATTCCCTGCCGTTGTAGTGTGTTACTGATGGTGACCTTTGTTACTTTGGTCCAGCTCTCTGCAGGTCATTCACCAGGTCCCCCCGTGTGGTTCTGGGATCTTTGCTCACCGTTCTCATGATCATTTTGACCTCACGGGATGAGATCTTGCGTGGAGCCCCAGATCAAGGGAGATTATCAGTGGTCTTGTATGTCTTCCATTTTCTGATGATTGCTCCCACAGTTGATTTGTTCACACCAAGCTGATTGCCTATTGTAGATTCACTCTTCCCAGTCTGGTGCAGGTCTACAATACTTTTCCTGGTGTCCTTCGAAAGCTCTTTGGTCTTGGCCATGGCGGAGTTTGGAGTCTGACTGTTTGAGGCTGTGGACAGGTGTCTTTTATACAGATGATGAGTTCAAACAGGTGCCATTCATACAGGTAACGAGTGGGGGACAGAAAAGCTTCTTACAGAAGACGTTACAGGTCTGTGAGAGCCAGAGATTTTCCTTGTTTGAGGTGACCAAATACTTATTTTCCACCCTAATTTACAAATAAATTCTTTACAAATCCTACCATGTGGATTCATGGATTTTTTTTTCACATTCTGTCTCTCACAGTTGAAGTGTACCTCTGGTGCAAATTACTGACCTCTGTCATCATTTTAAGTGGGGGAACTTGCACAATCGGTGGCTGACTAAATACTTTTTTGCCCCACTGTACGTGCATGTCATCCTATCTGTAAGTGCTAACATGACCTTTTGAAAGAATTCTGATAAAATTTGTAGGGGTGTAGAGACAGGGGGTCATGTTAGCAATCCATTAACTAATTTGCCCAACATCCAACAAGGTCTCCAAGGTCAGCTTAATGATTTCTTGGTTGCAAATTGATGAAAAAGCCTCATAACTTCGAAACTATGTTTGTAATAAGTGTGGTGTGTACTGTCAGCATGTCGACAGTACAACATATAGGAATATTGGGAGTTATATATATGGGGATTCTAAATGTCGCTTTGGACCTCTGACCTTGTTCAACGTCAGATAAAACCAAACCTTCATAAAATCCCTTCATCTTTAAATATGGTTAAAACAACAAGTGGAACTTGTATGTTCAAATTGCCCCCAAAATGCATTATATCTTTGAAAACGCATTGTGATGAGAAGGAGAACGAGCAGCTTAGTTTTTTTAGAAACATACTGTAGTATAATTTTTTTGTAATCAACTCAAGATATTCATGTTTATTATTTTACAAATCCATACCAATTATCCAACACTTGCTAGTGCATAATGATTTTACTGCACTGCAAACCTCTTGTTTGTATGTTTAAATACAAATATGAGAGAGAGAAATGTATATGAAATATAATAATGTTCCCTTAAAAGTAAATACAGTGCAGAGAGGGAGCTGCTCTGGCAGAGGTTTGTGCTGTTTGAGTGCTTCTTGGCAAAACTGTTAATTTAACCATCAATTCAGGCTATTTATAAGGATTCACTTATATCAGTCTATGTGAAATGTGAATTATGTCATGAGCCAGATATAGTTGTATAAGTTGATTAAAAGTTTGTTTAAACAAAAAGAAAAAAATAAATAAAAGCTGTTTTTAATACAGTTTAAGTTTGTTTTACAACATGACATATAAAAATGAAATTTTGATGTTGAGAATTAAAGATATATTGCTGTAAATGCATTTTTTTAGTTTTTCAGCTTCTATGTGAATTCAACCATCACAATAATACAAAAGGAAAAAAAGCAGAAATTGTCTTGCAGCATGTGGACATGCAGGACACGCGTACGTGTCTGGTGCTATTCTACGTTGCCTAGCTTCATTACCTTGTCCTGTTTGTTTTGCCATGCTGTGAAGACCACAGACACAACAAGGTTTGATTGATTGACTGAATCTTTATTTTGAACATGTTGAAAAAGTACAACAACATAGAATTAAAAGAGACAAATGAACAAAGCAAAACAAAAGGAAAACGAGCAACCACAACTCCAAATAACTTTCATGTTCAAAAAGGAGCAGGAAGAAGCATAAGCTTATGAGAAGGTCATGTGAACGTTGCATATGCTAAATCACAGAGAGAAGTATTTTTCACGAAAACTTAGCTCATATTTATAAGCTAATTTGTTCAGTAGACTTACTCCTTACGTGCTTTCTGAATATACCCGACCAGCTGAATCTGTACAGTTTAGGCTACTATACTGTAGTGTTAGCTGTCTGCTAGATTTCCCACCATTAGCCGTGAGCTCGGCTGTTGTCCCGTGCTCCTGCTCCCATGAGCCACCAGTCGATGGCCTCCTCAATTTTGCATGTGCTGAGAAAGGAGAGTAGTGCAGAAGACTGTTGTTCAGCTGTGTGTGTGTGTGTGTGTGTGTGTGTGTGTGTGTGTGTGTGTGTGTGTGTGTGTGTGTGTGTGTGTGTGTGTGTGTGTGTGTGTGTGTGTGTGTGTGTGTGTCTAATTATGAGACAAGTACTCATATAGAGAAAGAATAGCTGGCTGATGGGAAGCGGTGAGCAGAGATGTTCCGATAAATAAGCGCTGGTTGTTCCCTGAACTTAATAATTAACACACATTAAAATCAGGGCGAGAACCAGGGTTTAGAAATACATATTTCTTCATGTTTCATATTTGAGGTGTAGCACCTGTGCTCCAATAACCAGAAGAAAGGGCTACACTTCTGAAGAAACTAGGTCCAAGAGTTTTGATACAGTCACAATCATAACTTGTAAAGACTTTAAAGGTTTGTTTTGTACATCTTCCTCGTTTTCCAGGAGCAGCTGTGCATACAAATATATGAAGTGCTGTATGAATAAAACAATGAAATAAAACAGCATGCAAATAATTGAACTGTTATGTTACTTGAAATTAAAATGTTAGGAGAGAAACAGTTATTTTCTCAGTGGCTACGGTACGTCTGATTCACTTCCTCACAAGTTATGTGTCAACCTAACTCACTAACAACAATCCAGTCAGAGGCTATGTTGAATTCCTCTGTAGTCTTTTCAAAGTAAAAGCTCTCAAGAGCATCGCACACTGTTTCATGACATTTTTTTTACTATCTCGTTTTGGAAGAAATCAAAGTTCAGAGCTTGATGACCTCACACATGGTTATGGTCACAGTTAGAATAATAAAATCAGAAAGGTTATTGCAAGATAATGTAAAGTTTATCACACTTCTTCATGTTTAAGTTGTAGGACAACCAGACAAAGAGCTGCTTCAGGTCAATGGGGCAAAAAATGCAAAACAAAGACAAAAACCTGAAATCAGAGAAACCACAGCAATAACGTTTAACGTTCACAGGAAGCAAAAATGAAAAATGAATGAATTTATTAAACAGTTTGACAGTACTTACAAAGTAATAAGTAAACGGTATTTATGTCTCTAAAATTGCTCTTCTTTTAGTCGTGTTTAAATAAGAACACTTTTCTTAGAGTTCACCCACATTTTAAGTTCCTGACTGTCTTTTCTCAATTTTCATTTTTATCTTAAAGCCAAGAAAGTCATCCGTTATCAGTGGCCTCAAAATAAGATGCAGGAAATAAATATGAACTTTTAAGGTTTGCTTTTCTAAACTCAAGTGTCTTTAAGATAAGAAAAACAGACACACATGGAGTCTTAAACTTGGAAAAAAAGGAAAACAAGCTAAACTTAATCCTTCATTTTCATATTAAAATGATGAAGATTAAGGTTCTGTTTAAACTTTAATTAAACTTTAAACTTTTGGGGAGTATTCAGGTGAACTTAACTGGGAAAATGAGGTAGGAATGAAACGAGGAATCTGTGATGTGGAAATTAGAAGAAAGGAAGTGACACAGCGAGGAAATAAATAAATAAATAGGGAATAAATAGCAGTTGTAGCACTGGGAGTTTTTCTGTTGCAAAATAGTTTTTGGATTTCAAATCCAGAGGTCCTTTTAGATCATCAGTAAGGTGATTTAATCAAACATTTAGGTGCTAAGAGTAACGTCAGCAGGCCTGAGAGCGGTCCAGGGTTAGCTGAGGTTTCTGTTGTCACGGTAGCTTTGAGTTATCGTTTCCTCTTGCACTTTTTCTGCCCTCATCTCCGCCTTTTCCCCAGCAGTGAAAGTGAGAGTTTGCTTTGCCCAGTCAGCAGGTAGAGCCAGACCACTGCAGTAACTGTACACAGGCAGAAAGAGAGAGGGAGGGAAAAGCAGTAAAGAAGGGAGAGGACTGACAGGCGAAGGAAGAGGTAAAGCTACCGTATTTACAGAGCCATACGCAAATAATAACAGACTCTTATTATTTGCTGTCACTTCAGTTGTGTTGCTGTATATGGTTGGCTGAGTGGCATTGTACTGTGTGCAGTGCTTTTCTGCTTAGCTTACACACTGGCAGTGTATCTGATCCAAGACTTATTGACCATCTTTTACCTTTTTTATAATAACTTACTGTCATAAAAAGGCCGTATATGCAGATTCAGGTATTGACTGATGATATTTGACACAGTTTGGAGGTATATTTAATGTCAGGCTCTAATGTTTTATACATTCAATGTGAATTTATAAATCATATTATCTTTAGCATGAAATGTTAAAGATAATAAGTGTTTTCTTACTTTCTAGTACCTTTTTAGAGAAGAAAGCAGACTATTGAGACACAGTTTACATCACAACAGACAAATCACTAAAAAGGTTGTGTGTGTGTGTGTGTGTGTGTGCGTGCGTGTGTGTGTGTGTGTGTGTGTGTGTGTGTGTGTGTGTGTGTGTGCGTGCGTGTGTGTGCACAGTGTTGCGGCTAATGACTTGGGTAGCAGCTGATTCCAGGGTGCCATGTCCCCAATTACCTTGGATCATGTCACTGTGATGTGATTGGTTGAATGGCTGTCACTGTCTCCTATCATCAGGCGTTGTAACGGCCAGCGTGTTGTCCTCAGGAGGCACACAGAGCCGTGTGTTTTTAACACCCAAACCCTCGCCTCATGTCATATTTCTCTTTGTTCCTTTGCTTGTAGTTTTTCTTGCTTTGCTGTTTCTTTTTCAGCATTCGGGAATAAAGTCGGGGCTCAGACCTTTGCTCCATTTCGTTTCTTGCATACATGCTTTGTCACTTGACATCTTGCACATTTTACTTATTCACTGCTTAGTTGTGTCCATAAAGTTTATTTAAAATATCAGAGGTACAGCTGCAGGTGGACAAGAAATAAGCTAACCAGCTCTATCTTAAGGCAGATTTAACTCCTTTATTAACGCTTTCATCCTCTACAATTACAATACACATACAGTACAATACATTTTGCACATCCATTCACTGAGTTTGTAATCAGGTTAACTGGTGGCCACTCAGAAGCATTTTTGATTGTTTACAGCTTGATTTACTTTTATTAAAGTGAATCCATTTTGCTTAATTCTGGCACTGATTTGTTTGAAGTATTTTTTTGCTATGACAGGAAGAGAGTGCAGAAGGGTTAATGCACATAAAATGGCCTGGAGCAGAATTGAACCTGGGCCCCTGCACTGGTATTTTGGCATATAGATTTCTTGCTCAACCCACTGAACTACTCCAGAACACAGCAACAAATATTCAGTGAGGCTTTGCTAGAGTAGCTTTGCACGATTCTTGTACTGGGCCTTGGTGCACTCTGTCAGATCTGTGTGAGGCAAACTGTTGTAGCTCTTCTCCTTCAGGGCTGTCATCACTTTGAACCTGCTTTTTTCTGCTTCTGATATCCTGATTACTGCATTTGTCAGAGACCTGAGTGTTTCCATCATAGGAAAACTTTGGCCATGTTTAATATGAGAATGCACCATTACAACTGTGCACATGTAAGAGAAAATTAAGGACGTGGAGTCTTTAAGGTGAACCTATACTTCCAAAAATGAAGCAGCAGCGTGTTTATATGAGTCTCTGGGACAGACAGAAAACACTAAACTCTTGGTTCGTCTTCTTCTTGTTCAGATCCAGGTGATCAAAATAGAGACGGAGGACAACAGAGAAACCCGCTCTGCCAAGGATGCGCTGCTGCTTTGGTGCCAGATGAAGACTGCAGGGTGAGCAGTGAAATAAAAACACAGAAACTAGAAGCTCAAACTGCAGATTTCATGATCATTTAGGTGTTATACTGTATATCTAGTCAGAATGTAGTGAGAGTAATTTGGAGCTCTTTAAGATTAGAAAGCATTTCTCCATGTCGCAGGTACTCTGAGGTCAACATCCAGAACTTCACCACCTGCTGGAGGGACGGCCTTGCCTTCAACGCCCTAATACATAGACACAGGTAGGACACACGTACACAGCATAGAGCCAGCACTGTTAGTATGTGTTTTTAGTCCTTTTTTTAGATGCAAACACGTTACCAACAAAAAGACGAAAAATATTCACACACACATTTAAACAAACACGGAGAAGCGGGTGTGACTGACATGAAATTTTAAAATCACAACCATACACAAATTTTTGTTTTTTCATGTTGTGCCCTCCAGACCTGATCTAATAGAGTTCCACAAGCTGACACGATCCAATGCAACCCACAACCTGCAGCAAGCCTTTAACATCGCTGAGCAGCACCTGGGCCTCACGAAACTCCTGGACCCTGAGGGTGAGAGTCATGCAAACCACACTCCATGCTGCAATATCCAAAACAGTGCAAAACCTGCTGCACTCAGTAAGATAGACAACATTTTTCTTTTTCACAGAAATGGGAGACGTGAGATTAACTCACGCTTCAAAGGTTCTCACAGCTTCTTTCAAACATTATAAGTTAACTGATTTTAAAACATAAAGCATGTAACAGTACCCAAAACTAGAACTAACGTTCAATTTTTACCAGAAAGGCCAATGCATATACTCATTCCATTATAATCTTTTTATGATGGATTAAAAAGACAAGGATAAAGGCTATGTAAGGGAAGTTTAAAATGTTTAACTCTTCTAAAATGTGTGGGCACTGAAAATGTGCTCAGACTTTGTCCAAGTGTGCAATAAAAAAGCTTTTTAAACGTATGTAGCTTTTTTTTTTCCTTCTGTGAGTTGTGTGGAAGGGTGAGGCCATGAGATGGCAGCTGAAAGCATGTTTTTTCCCACACATTGTTTTCAGTCACGTCTTACAGTGAACTCAGAATTATGCAGGAGAGACATGCACAGATCTGATGTATTAATAAGACTTGAGCCATTACTCAGACTTACTCAGACTCTCAAATCTTATGGACGAGTGACCGTGGTGCTGATCTATACTAGAAACAATCAGATCCTTGTATGTTAAGAGGAAGGAGTGCTGGTCTTAAAGGTGATGCCAACTCTTCTATCTTTCCGTTTCTATCACCTCCCTCCTGTGCAGATGTGAACACCGAGAACCCAGATGAAAAGTCCATCATTACATACGTGGTTTCCTATTACCACTACTTCTCTAAGATGAAGGCTCTTATTGTGGAGGGGAAGCGCGTTGGCAAGGTAACGCACATGCTCTCCCAAATATGCCTACAAAACCTGCATACTGACAGCATCAGAGAGGAGATCAATGAGCCACTATTGCTTTAAAACATGAAGAGCAGGCAGTCTGAAACAAATAATATCACTGTAATATCACTTTACTAGCACGTGCAGACCTTAGAGGGATTTAAATATTATGATTCTTAAAGGGTTTCTTGGTTATTCCTGCCTTTTTTTGTTAGCCTCATACCTCAATCTTGCTCTCAGAATCTCCTTGCAACTTTCTTCTCTCTGAACCAGGTGCTAGACAACTGCATTGAGGCAGAGAAGATTGTTAACCGCTATGACGCTCTGGCATCTGAGCTCCTCGAGTGGATAGAGAAGACCATCGCGGTCATCAGCAACCAGAAGTTTGCCAACTCGCTGACCGGAGTTCAGCAGCAGCTGCAGGCTTTCACCACCTACTGCACTATAGAGAAGCCCATAAAGTAAGTTTGATGATTCTTTAAAAATACCAGATTAACATATTTTGTCATTTTTTTTAACACCACATGTACAAACCCAATTTCAAAAAAGTTGTGACGCTGTGTAAAACGCTTGATTTGATTTGCAAATGTCTTAAACTCATAAGAAACGGTATAATTGGAAGAATTTGACGACAGCAAAGCATCTCCAAAACCTTGGGGCCAACTTCAAGCTGGAAAACAAAGTGATACTAAAAAGAAGCAGCTGGAGGAACAACACCAACTAATTATGTAAATATGTAATACAGTGGTCGCTTGCTATAACGCGGTTCACTTTTCGCAGCCTCGCTGTTTCACTGATTTTTTGGGTGCAATCTTGCATGTTTTTTTTAATTTATTTATTTTTTAACAGCGCATTGTGTTCTGCGTCCTGATTGGCTGTAGACCATTGTCAATCAATCTGGTGCCGTGTCTCCTGTACAGTACAGAATGTGTTCAGCTTGTCAAATTTACATAAATCTTTGATCGCTAGCAGTGTGACTCTGAAGTGCTTTACTGTATGTTTGTAAGGTTTCTCCCAACAAACGCAACAATGTCGACGAAACGTTTTGCGCCATCAAAGACAACTACGGTAGCCTTTGGTTTCATTCTATAATACTGCACTTTGTAGAAAAAAAAGGTTTGAACTTTGAGAGTGTTTAAACAAGAGAGAAAATTGTGAAAATGTTCATGCCTGTCTGAGAAAAGTGTATAAAGCGTGTAGTGAGGGGTTTTACGGTCTTAAAACATCTATAATAATTGGAAAAAATAAAGTTGGCTACTTTGCTACTCATCTATCACCTATTTTTGGAACATAACTCCCACGATAAACGACTGACCACTGTACCACATCACATATAGTAAAATAAGCTTCGGTTTGTGACCGCTACCAGTAACCTGGTGTGACCAGCTGTGATTCAAAACAGTTAATCTACAGCTTCTCAAGTGTCAGAATTAGTTGCTTATATCTGCTTTACTAAGTAATTTATTATTTATTAATGTAATTAATGCATTTAATTTATGCCAGTCTTGTGAAAAATATACTGTTGTGCTTATACCATATACGTTTTATGTTTCACCCTATTAGAGAAAAATAAGATTGCTGTGTATGTGTGTAGCTGTGTAGTGTAATTTTATGTGACTCCTACTAAAGTGTAGAGTACTAGACTCATGACACCTCAGAGTGTACTGTCAGCAGCAATGACACACACACACACACACACACACACACACACACACACACTCTTGCTATGATACAATAGGCCTTGTTAGGCTCTGGGTGACTTAAGCAGCTCACAGCCAGCTGTTGACTTGTGAAACTGGCACATAAGCAGATGTGCATACATATTAGTGGATATTTTAATAGAAGACTGTTCTCAGACTAAATGTAGACTCTCTGTGAGTAATTAATGAGCACAACCCTGGACAACAGACAGAAACACGTCTGTCAACAAGCTTTCGTGCTGTTTGAGTGATTTTTTGCTGAGATGACTGCGATACTGTGACACTGACCCACCAACTAAAGCTTCCTGCTTCTCATCCAGGTTTCAGGAGAAGGGTAATCTCGAGGTCCTTCTCTTCACCATCCAAAGCAAACTCAGAGCCAATAACCAGAAACCCTATGTGCCTAATGATGGGAAGCTCATCTCAGACATTAACAAGGTCATACACCCATAAGCTGTGTTGTTTATATTTTATATACAACATTTAATCCTTTCTCCAACACTGTTAATCAGTTTGTCATTCATCTTCTAGGCCTGGGAGAGATTGGAGAAGGCAGAGCACGAGAGAGGTGTAGCTTTACGGAAGGAGCTGATTCGCCAGGAGAAGCTTGAGCTGTTGGCTCAGCGCTTTGACCACAAAACCACCATGAGGCAAGCCTGGCTCAATGAGAATCAGAGACTCGTATCGCAGGTAGGGGGGACAAATGTCTCAGTGTATTACTGGTACTTGTTTCATTAAATCTAAGATCACGACTTTCTTTGTTTTCCCCTTCGACTTCAGGACAATTTTGGTTATGACCTACCAGCAGTCGAGGCAGCGATGAAGAAGCACGAAGCCATCGAGGCAGACATAGCCTCATACGAGGAAAGAATTGGCGTGGTTGTGGAACTCGCAGCAGAGATGGAGGTGGAAGGATACTACGATATCCGGCGTATCTTGGCACGTAAAGAGAATATCCTGGGCCAGTGGAGTCTGCTGAAGGAGCTGGTGGCTGGGAGAAGGACCCGGCTGGAGAAGAATCTGGCCTTGCAGAAGACCTTCCAGGACATGGTGTACATGATTGACTGGATGGAGGACATGCAGGTACTAGAGAGCGTGAGAGACGTAAAATGAAAAGGACACTACACCTAAAATACGAGTACTGGGGTCAAAAGAAACTCTGTAACTAGAGTCCTACATACACTTCAGATTTTTCATGTGTGTATATAAACACAGATATCAAAATTTATTATTGAAACCCCTGGTTTCATCATTTCTTCTTCCATTAATTTCTCTCGCCTTTCTTCCCTCCCGTTGCTTCATTCCTTTCAGGTCCAGCTGCTCTCGAGGGACTTTGGGAAACATCTACTAGAGGTGGACGACCTGCTGCAGAAGCACGGCCTGCAGGAGGCCGATATTACTGTGCAGGCTGAGAGAGTAGAGACGCTCAACACTGCTGCACTCAAGTTCACCACAATAGAGGGTACACGCATGTACACACACATTGTGTTGCAGTGAAAGTGTTTTATTTGTCTTTAGCAATGATTGGAAAATTGGTATTTAAGGCTTGGTGTGAGTAGGTTGATATCCTGTGTCTGACTCACGGTTCTAATAAATTTAATGCCGTCTCATTTTTACAGGTTACCAACCATGTGACCCACAGGTGATCTGTAACCGTGTCAACCATGTCTCTTCCTGTCTGGAGGAGCTGAAACACCTGGCAACTAAAAGACGTGCTGAGCTCGAGGAGTCAAGGAAACTGTGGGCCTTCTTTCAGGTGAGATGGGTCAGCAGGCTGTGGGGAAAATGGCGGGATTAACTTGCCGGGATTATTCCTAGGAGCCAGTATCTGAGGAGCTTGGATGCTTCAGAAAGCTTTGAACATTTTTTATGCCCCATGCATGTCTATGGGAGCAACCAGGAGTCCCCACACAGACATGGTGACAGTATGCAAACTCCACACAGAAAGACCCCACCCTGGATTCAGGCCAGGCACCACCAATCGCCCCACCCAATCATTAAACCTGTTCAGTTTTCCATTACAAATATTGTCCTGCTTTAAAACTTGTCTTTTGTCCTATTAGGAGCTGGAAGAGTCGGAGGCCTGGATCAGAGAGAAAAGCTCCATCCTGGGAGCTCAGGGCTACGGGAAGGACCTGAGCAGTGTGCTGAGGTTACTGCAACAGCACAAGACTCTGGCTGGGGAACTGCTGGCTCACCGCTCACTGCTGCAGGTGCGTGTTTTCAATTCTGCACCTGGTAAATGTACTGCTGTAAGAGTTTTTCTCCAAACTTCACAGACTTCAGTAAATTTATGCATTTACATTTATACATTTCTTTTAGTTTATCTAAAAAAAACCCATCCAACTTCTCCTAACAGAACATTTGGAGTTCACGTTTTGAGGATGTATCTGCTGGCCCACATTAAAAGCTATATCAGCCAATAGCTTTTATATGCTATTGGTTGATATTAATTTCATGTTCTCCTTGTTTTGTTAACTTTACTTTGAAGCACCAGGTGGTCTTTTTAATGAAAACAAGAAAGAGAACAATATGAATATGTTAGATCTAGGGTCTCCAGGTCTCTTGGTCTTTAGGGTTTGTTTTTCAGCCACATGCAAATCAAGCGTTTTCTCAAGCCAGAAGTGGCCATTTTTCAAATGAGTCAAATATCTTTCCTCCTATCCAGAACACCATGAAGCGAGGGAAGCAGATTCTGAGTGAGAAGAGCTTTGGCACAGCGGGGATCCAGGAGCGCATCATGGAGGTTAAAGGCGAGTGGAAGAGGCTGGAGGACCAGGCTGCGCAGCATCTCAGCCACCTGCAGGAGGCGCTCAACTTCTTCCAGTTCTCCACAGAGACGGACGACGTCGTGGCCTGGCTGCAGGACGCTTACCGCCTGGTGTCCAGTGAAGACTTTGGACACGATGAGTACTCCACTCAATCGCTGCTAAAGAAACACAGAGGGGTCAGTGAAGCCATTGACAAACATCGTTTGCATGTAGTGGCACTGCGCAAACACATGGTGGCGCTGCCCCTGCGGTACCGTGAACAGGAGGTGGGTACGGGCGCAACAATCAAACAAAAAAAAGGATGTTTCACTTCCCATGTCTTTATTATTTAATAAACTTTTTGTCCGACCATCTCGTCCTGTCTCCTCTTCCATCCTCCTCTCTGCAGGAGGTGCAGGTTCGTATGGGAGAGGTGGAGCAGCTGTACACAGAGGTTGCTGAAATCGCAGTGCTCAGACAGCAGTGGCTTCACGACGCCCTCGCTGTGTACCGCATGTTCAGCGAGGTCAACGCCTGCGAGCTGTGGATTGACGAGAAGGAGCAGTGGCTGGAAAGGATGGAGATCCCAGAAAAACTGGAGGATGTGGATGTCGTGGCACACAGGTGAGGAGGAGGGGAAGGAGGACAGAATGGCTAAAGGCAGTTGGCTTTACCATCTCAGGCCTACCAAAGCTTAGCTGGGTGGTCAGTGTCTGTCTTGTTGTCTAAACTGTTACCAAGAATTGGCTGAGTCCAACTTTTGCAGTTCAAAACTACAACCCTCATGTTGCAGATTTGAGAGCCTGGACCAGGAGATGAACAGCCTGATGGGAAGGATCCTGGATGTTAATCAGATAGTTCAGCAGCTCCTGGATGGAGGTCATCCATCTTCTACAGAGGTCAGAGGTTGTCAGGACCACCTCAACTCTAGGTACTGAAACAAAAGCAACAATCGAAGTGATAACAGCTGCATCATTTACCACAGTAACAAATAGATGTGCCTACCAACTCACAGATGAACCTTATATTAGTAATATAGTTAATATAGTTCCTGTGTCGGCTGTTGGTTGGTTGGATTGGAGTGCTGTGACTTCTCTGTGTACAATTTCATTGCTAAGGCATTGAGAGTACAACGTTTAAAAATAAGATAAAATGTGATTGAGTGGAATAAGGTCAAAGTTACATTATTTAAATCAGCCCCAGTTACCAAAGTACAGCGCTGTAGTACATAACATACATGGTAGTACTGTAGCACTGCCATATGTGACAAACAATATTTATTAGTAAAGGTTCAAACTTCAGAAAATGAGCTCTAACAGCGTAAACATGTTTGTGGAGAGCAGCTTGCGAACTGATTGCTCTCTGTTGAAAAATGACTTGATTTTACTGATTTTACCAGAGGCAGGAGGAGGGGCGTAGTAGGTGGGTGGAGAGGAAGGTGGAGGGAAGTCAGCTGACACACAGGGAAAGAAGAGAAACACCAAGAGTGTGAATTGTTGTGGGGTTTGTTAACAGCTTTTTTTAAATTGCCGTCTTTGGGAGTTGAACCTGCCTTCTCATCGTAATTATGCGACATGCAGCTCTTACATCGTAGCAACTTGGAGCCATCCTCCCTCCGATCTCTGTCCACGTAGATCCTGAGATAGGATTGTGTTTTTGTTTTTTTGCTTAAATGTCTCAGCCCGCTTCATTGACCAGTTATGTCTGGCAGCAGAGTCCATGACAGCCGGGTGTTCGTGAGTCCGGTGACCTTGGCACGTGGAGAGTCGGTCTTGGGGTGACCATCTGTGTTGGCTTCCTCATTTAAGACGGGGCTGGCCAAGAGTCCCAAATTCAAAAACAAACATACAAGCAGTCATATTTATTCACCGCCTTCACTTGTATTGGTTAATAGAATTGTGTTCCAGTAGTAAAAGCCTAAATGCATAATATATTAACTTAATTTGATGATATTAAACACAGTGCGACTCTACCCAGCTTAAGTGGCACAAAGAACATCAGTCTATAACAGTAGGAGGGAAAATTCAAGGTGTATTTCTCTCTCTAAAGCACACGGTTGTCTAATCTCCTGACGTTTATCGTGCTTACAGCTCACTCAGTTTTACTCCCTCTGTCTTTCAAAACGATTCCTGATGTAATATCTACAGTTTGGTATATATCTATAAATTGTTAAAAAGCCAAACAAGAGTCAGCAAGAGTACTGATATTTAACATAACATACATTTAACACTTGCTAATAACATTTTATAAATACTACCACCACTACTACAAATGATTATATGGTATTTAAAAAACACGTCACAATACCTGTTTTAATTTAGTTTTAGTAGAGGTAGTAAGGTTTAAACACCTGAGGTCAACTATCCAACACAACAGCCAATGCAGGTGACGAACAGCGTGCAGGCAGGGTGGAGTGGGTGGAGACGTGTGTCAGGGGTGATTTGTGACAGGAGGATAGAGGGAAAGGGAAGGTTTACAGACCTGCTACGGTGTAAGGTTTGGGGATGGTAGCACTGACTAAAAGACAGGAGGCTAAGCTAGACGTGGCAGAATTAAAGATATCAGGATTTTCACTGAGATTGACCAGGATGGACGGGATTAGAAATGAGTACATCAGAGGGAGAGAGGATGTTGGAGGTGGAGTTGCCAGACAGGAGGAATAGGAGGATCTCAGAGGAGATTCGTGGATGCAGTGAAGGAGGACATGAAGGGATTTGGTTTGAGAGGAGATTGCTAGGGATAGCATAGCAGATGATCCACTGGGATGAACAATAAAAGGAGCAGCTGAAAGAAGGAGGAAAAAATAAGACCATGGCAGAATCAAAGCAGTATTAGTGACCTAATTTTCAGTCAGGTTATTATAACTACAACATAATTACTAGGGGTGCAACGATACACAAAATTCACGGTTCGGTTCGATACTTTGGTGTCACGGTTCGATATTTTTTCGATACAAAAAAAATGTTCATGCCTTTTTAATTTGTCATTTATTAAAATTATAAATATATACTTTAACTCAAAAGTACAGTTTTTAAATTTAATGTTGCTGAAACAAAAGTAATTAAAAAAATAAATATATCTCAGGGCTCTCAAAATTTCAAAATCCCTGGTAGCCCTTCGGGCAGGGACTCTTCAGTTTTTGGTAGCCCAAAATAAATATAAGTAGCCCGAATAAAAAAGAGAGCAATTTTTTGATTGATGTTTTGTTTCCTGTTTTGTTTCCTTTACAATATTATACATTAAAGTATAATATTGTAAAAGAAACAAAACATTAATCAAAAATTGTTGAAAAACAAATTACAACATTGTATAAAAATTACAATCATCAACTCAAATACTTGGCTATAATTGAACAGAAATTTCTATGAACTTGTAAGAACTGTGTAGGACATGAATCAGTCTGTGTCAGATCCTGAATTTGAAATTTCCGCTGAAGTCAAGAGACAAGTGGAACCAAGATCGAGGCCATTTGCTTTTTGAAGTTTGCAAAGACTGCTAAATTTTGCCAGTGGTAGTTCACTCTTTGCAACATAGTACGCTGTTCTAAACAGATTTTTCAGGTTTATTTTTAGTATGTTATTTGCAATTGGTTTTTGTTCTGGGAAAGATATTGCAGACTGAGCAATAATGCATTTCTTGCATTTCTCATGGGTTCTAATGGGGGCCTTTCTTAAAATGATTGGTCCCAGTAACAAAGGCGCTTGTCGACTCAGAAATCGAGAGAAAACCAACAACACACCTGGCAGAACATTATGTTATTTACACGGGTGCACATAAGTGGTCCGCATGTGCGCATTCGCTGTCAAAATAAAAGACGTGCACCAGATAAGAAGTTGCAACGCGCGTTTGCGTCCATATAAAAGGCAGTGTTTTTGTCCGCTAGAGTGGGATTTTCACGGCACATTCTGCACCACATCTCTGTGCGTTCATCATTTGTTTGAAGCCAGCTCACCTCCTGCATCCACTTTTCCGAGAATACGCGCTTCTTTTGTGGTTCGGACTCCTTCTGACATTTGTTTGGAGGTGGAGGAACACCAAAGTAATTGCTTAAAGGAGCTTCTTCGACATCCTTAAGAGTTCTAAACAAATGTCTGTCCTCCTCCAGAAAATCTTATGTATGCAAACACGCGTTGCAACTTCATATCTTGTGCGCGTTTTTTATTTTGACAGCAAATACGCACCTGCGGACCACTTATGTGCAGCCCCGGTTATATAGCTCGTCATGTTGCAGCCACAGAAATTCTTTTGTCCATGAAACCATAAAGCTGCACTTTCTTTTTGCCTTATAGTCTGATTTGTCATAACTTCTCCGTTTTGTGGTAAGCTTTTCTTTGGCTGTCACTTCTTCACCCTGACCTCTCTTATTTGGCTCAGCAGAACTGAAATATATATCCTGCTACTTTTATACACACACACACACACACACACACACACACACACACACACACACACACACACACACACACACACACACACACACACACACACACACACACACACACACACACACACACAATGGTCAGCGATTCTCTGCGCGATCAACCTCTCATATGTTTAAGCTTGCTGCGGGAGATTTCACTTGTCATGTTTGCATAGTAAGCTAACGATTGATAAGACGATGTCAGAGGAATTGGTGCACAAATTATCATCACTCACCAATCAGTACTGTCGCTCTCTATACACAGTTCGGGCGATTGCAAAGTGAAAGCAAAAAACAAGCGCAAATTCAAACGCGATTTCAATATGTCACATATTGGCAGTGGCTCACCGATGCCAATGACATAATTACCCAGCTACATTTCCGAAAGAATGCAAAAGCATTGACATATATTTTTCCTTCCTACAATAGCCCGACGGGCAGGGCAGAGATAGATTTTGGTAGCCCGACTGGAAAAAAATCGCTAGCCCCAGGACGTCGGGCTAGCGATTTCGTGAGCCCTGTATCTGATTGAGGAATCACTCATCTTTGGAAAAGAGAGTTTATTACAGAGAAATGGCTCTTTCCAAAATAAAAGCTATACTATACGCTTCTTCTGGGCAGCATATTGTAGCGGGTCAGGGCTGTTCTGGGTTCTGTTTGTACAGTTATGTTTTGTTTATGTTGCCATAGTGACGGGTGACGCCTTCTCGCTGCCACGGTGTGTCCTTCCGGGGTCAGAGGGCGCCCTGTGTGTTGTTGTTGTTGTTGCTGTGGGGTTGCCGCGCTGAGCAGTTAGCTAGCGGCAGTGTTCTTCTGCAGATGTCAATAAACGGCTGTGCTCCCTGGCTAGCTAACGGCAAGCAAGACCAAACGACACCTCCGTCTCCTCGTTGTCTGAGCTCGCCACATTGGTGTCAGAAGTGGGATGATGGTGGCACCCCATGTTCTGACCCGAGTGACTTTTCCCCCGCCAGTCGTGACCGGCCGGTGCGCCAAAAGAAGGCACCTGGACATTTGCATGACTTTGTGTGGGGTAATGGGGTCGTCGGGGACGACTGACCCCTTAGGTGGGGGCTATGTAGCGGGTCAGGGCTGTTCGGGGTTCTGTTTGTACAGTTATGTTTTGTTTATGTTGCCATAGTGACAGGTGACGCCTTCTCGCTGCGAAGGTGTGTCCTTCCGGGGTCAGAGGGCGCCCTGTGTGTTGTTGTTGTTGCTGTGCGGTTGCCATGCTGAGCAGTTAGCTAGCGGCAGTGTTCTTCTGCAGATGTCAATAAACGGCTGTGCTTCCTGGCTAGCTCACGGGAAGCAAGACCAAACGATACCTCCGTCTCCTCCTTGTCTGAGCTCGCCACAATATTAAACATAGCAGGTCCCCATAAGGAGAATCATGTGCTAACGGCTGTCTAAATGACTCGGGTAAAGTTTGTAGCATGCATGCTTGTTGTTTTTGTCTGCTTCCACTTGTCTTTGTACTAGGATGATGTCGGTGTAAATGTGCAGTCATATTCGTTGTGTTCCCACTAGTGCTGTCAGCGTTAATCTCGTTGAAATGACCTTAACGCCACAACACGGCAAATCTCCGTTAACGAGCTACCCCTGATCGCCCCGTGCATGGGGCTAGACGGCCAACACATTAACGAGCTAACTGCGCTAACACACTAGTTCCCACCCATGTAATTGAGCATTGCGTGGCACATCCAACATACTGTTTTACTTTAGTCCATGACGCGCTTACCTTCAGGGTCATACGTCACATGAAAACCAAAATAATTCCAAACGCCAGATCTGAATGAGGTTGGGGGAGGTTCAATTTGCCATGTTGCAAGGAGAGCTTAACTTCTGTCTCGCTAGCTTGCCCTGCGCTCTTCCTTCTGATGATCCTGTGTGTTGAACGCTCAGTGGATCTGCGCTCGACAGTGCAGCCTAGGCGGAGTAGTCGAACGCAGATTCACTGAGCGCTCAACACAGACAGCATCGTTAGAAGGAAAGTTGATAAAATAAATGACAAATTTTGTATTGTTCGATACATATGCATACCGAACCGAAAGCACTGTATCGAACGGTTCAATATCGATACGAGTATCGTTGCACCCCTAATAATTACATAACTACTCCAATTCTATAACAGATTTATTCAATGAAAATTTTCACTGAACATTTTTAAAACAGGTTTCCAGCCCTGAGGTCAGTGTCACTGAGATGTTTTCCTGCTGAGCGCTCTGTCTGACATTACCTCAGTACGGTCACAAGGATTTGTGTTTATATGTTTATATGTGCGTGAGTGTGTGTGCGCGCGTGTATCTTGGCTGAATGGGTGTGTACTGAGATCTGTTGGTCTGGAGTAGATTCAGGTGAACATATTGGATGACGATGTGTGAGGCTGAGCCGAAGCCGCAGCATAGTGGATCACAAACAAGTGTCTCACGTGAATCAGAGCAGGTCATATCAGGTCAAAATAACAACGAGTTCTTTCAAAGTCAGGAGTAACACAAAGGAAATGTTAGAAATAGACTTACAAAGAAAACAGCGTCACATCATCAACACGAAGATGACTGAATCTGAATCGCTTCACCTCGATGTTATTGGTGGTTGATATGTCTGCTGCTTATTTGGATTATATTGACTTATTAGGTAAAAATGTAATCCAGATTTAAGGATGTCATCTTATCAAACCGTGTTACTAAGTGTGTAACAGTTCTAAAACTGTTACACACTTAGTAAATATCCACAACTAAAACAAATCTTTTACAAAAAGCAAGTGGTAGGCGTGAATCACACGTTTTTTTCCCCCCACACAACAACAACACTCGCCTCTCTTGAAGTGCACTTGCAGTCTTATTGTGCGCCGTCTGTCACACCTCTCCAGGTGGAACAGCATCGTGGAGCTGGTCGAGCAGAAGAAAGATCAACTGGACTCGATGTTACGTCTGCAGAACTACCTGCTGGAGTGTGCCGAGATCAAGTCCCAGATCCAGGACAAGAGAAAAGCCATTGACGCCACCCAGTATGTGGGCAGTGATTTGGGAGGGGTCCTCGCCCTGCAGAGACGCCTCTCTACTATGGAGGGAGCCCTGTCTGTTCTGGAGCCCAAACTACTGCACTTACAGGTAGGACATTTACACAAAAAACATTTATATGACGTTTTTCAGCTGTAGAATTGAAATCTATCCCTAAAAGTAATATTTTACACTTAACTGGAGAGTCTAAACGGACAAGTAGAGATGATTTTTTGTATTTCAGGGATTTAATTTTCTCATGTTTTTAGTGGCTAAGTGAGTTTAAGAAACCAAACAATAGGTATAAAAGTATATATGATTTTAAGTACTCTGAGGTATCAGTAGGCTAGCAGCACCATATAATAGCGTTTCTCTTTGGTGATGCAGGAAGAGGCAGAGCATCTGGCCACTGCTCACCCGGTTCGGGCAATGGAGGTTCTTGTGCAGTTTGATGGCATCAGTGTGGAGTGGGAGGAGCTCAAACGGACCCTGCAGGGATGTGAGGACTCACTGATGGTGGCTAGCAGGCTGCAGAGCTTCATACAGGTACAAATGAGGAAGAAGTGTTTGACTCTGAACACCACTTGCTACTGAAATTCATCAGCGAGCAAAAAGTGAGGTTTATTCCTCACTATGACCTTGACCTTTATTCAAATTTGCTATAAATGTAAACAAAAAATCTTAAAGAACAAAACTAGACACCAGGAGCAATTCCAAGGAACAGGAACAGTAGCAAGGAGCAAGCAGGAGGGTAGACTGTCAAAGACCAAGGCAGTGGTAAGACTTCATGTACATATATTTCTTATTCTTTCAGCTGCCCCTTTAGGGTTCGTCACAGCAAATGATCTGCCTCCATCTCATCCTATCTCTAGCATCCTCTTCTGTCACACCAGTCCTCCCTTTTTCTCCTGGCACCTCCATCTTCAACATCCTACAGAGATATAAATTCTAGAGCCTGTCTTTCAGTTGCTGACTCTTTAATCAAATCTGAAATTATGTTTATGAACGATTAAACCCCAAACATGTTTATAAACTCTTAGATAAATAATTTCTACATAAAAACTGAGGGCGTTGTTGCAGGGCTCAATAAAGAAACCAACTTGAAAAGTTTCAAAGAGAATAGAAGTTAAATAGGGCCAAAGGACCTCAAGCTTAATTATCAGCCAACCTGTCATTATTAAGGAATAACTGACTCCATTTTCCGGTACTGTGAACACATCAGAGCTGCTTTTCCACCATCCCTGGACTCGCACCAGTTTGCATACAGGGAGAACCGGTCAACCGAGGATGCGATCGCCACAGTGCTGCACACATTACTGAAGCACTTGGAACACCTATGCACGGCTCCTCTTTGTAGACTACAGCTCGGCTTTTAATACCATCCGGCCATACAAACTCCGTCCCAAACTCCACCAACTGGGACTTAACTCCTCTCTGTGCAACTGGATTGTGGACTTCCTCACTAACCGTAGACAGAGTGTCAGAGTGGGTAAGAACACCTCCTCCACCCTTGTGGTCAACACCGGTGCCCCTCAGGGGTGTGTTCTGAGCCCTCTGCTATACACTCTCTTCACCCATGACTGTATTTCCTCCTGCGCGTCCAATCTCATTGTTAAGTTTGCAGATGACACTACAGTGCTCGGACTTATATCCAACAATGATGAGACAAACTATAGGACAGAGGTGCAACAACTAGAGTCATGGTGCCACGACAATAACTTGGTCTTAAACACCAAAAAGACCAAGGAGATCATTGTAGATTTCCGGAAGAGGGGTCATAACAACCATCTGCCCCTCTTCATTGGCAGTGAGGCGGTGGAGAGGGTGAGCAGTTTTAAATTCTTGGGGGTAACTGTGACCGAGGACCTGTCCTGGGGCAACCATATCACCTCAGTTGCACGGAAGGCCCAACAGCGCCTCTACTACCTGAGGAGACTGCGGAGCGCACACATTCCCAGATCTCTGATGTTGAACTTCTACAACTGTGCCATCAGCAGCGTTCTGACGTATGGATTTCTAGTGTGGTTCCCCAGCTGCACCAAGGCCGATCAGCAAGCACTCCAGCGGGTGGTGAAAGAAGCTGGCAGAATTATTGGAACAAGTCTGCCAGAGATCAGTAATATCTTCCCCACTCGCTGTCTGAGGAGGGTGCACAGTATCCTGCGGGACCAACATCACCCTGCGCGCCACCTTTTCCATCTGCTGCCCTCAGGGAGAAGGTACAGGTCTATACAGGCCAGAACATCCAGACTGGCCAACAGCCTGTATCCACAGGCTGTGAGGCTCCTGAACTCTCTGCCCCCCTCTCACGGACAATAACCATATCCAACTTCTTAATAGCAATGAACTGGTCTGCATTGGTGCATCATATCTTTATTCTCTTCCCCCTCCTGCCCCCCCCCCTCTTTTGTAAATAGATAACTATCATATCTGATATCATATCTCACAGTACAATAATATTGAATGGGTTGCATTGTTGTATTTTGTCATGTTTCTCAGGTCTTTGTCTGAATTTCTACGAACATTATTGCTAAGGATTGTCTTATTGCATTGGAGTCACACTGGGTTAAATATGTACACTTGGGTTTTAAGGGGTATTTATTATTTTCTTCTTTTTTTGGGTTGTATGGAAGCCCCAAACGCAATTTCATTGTTCTTGACAATGACAATAAATAAATACTACTGAGAAAGTGGCAGGGGAGAAGTGGGTGCTATAAAAATAATTAATGCACGCTGTCCTTAATTCCACATTGCAAGAGTGAAAAAGTACAAACAGCATGCGGATGTCGTGTAGAGGTCATAAAGAAAGTTTTTCTGTCTACACAAACTTCCAGAGTATGAACTAATGTATAATTAATGAATTGTGATTCATGCTCCTTACCCTGTCTTGTCAGGACCTGGACTCATTCCTCACCTGGTTGGTCCAGACGCAGACCGCCGCTGCCTCAGAGCAGCTGCCCAACAATCTGGAGGAGGCAGAGAAGCTCATCAACGAGCACGCTGCTCTCAAGGAAGAGATTGGACGGTAGGTGAATGTTTTCTACAATATATTATGTGATGTTATTTCAGGCTGTGTAGAGAATAACTGGGCAGCTCTCTGTTCACGCAGGTACGAAGAGGACTACGAGCGCCTGCAAGCCATGAATGAGCTCCTGGAGTCCGAGGAGGCTCCTCTCCCACAGGCCGCCCTGCAGCAGTGGCTCCAGAAACTCGATGTCGGCTGGAACAAGCTGCTGGAGATGTGGGAAAGCAGGAGAGAAGTTCTGGTCCAGGCTCACATTTTCCATCTATTCCTGCGTGACGTCAAACAGGCCGAATCCTTCCTCAACAACCAGGTGTGTGTGGCAGCGTCACTTCATCTGTCAGTGGTGCAAAATGAAATTTTAGTGGGATTGGCCTGAAATTTGGGTCCCTATTTATGGCACTGACACCCTGTGTAATAGAAAATCTCCACTATTTACCTTATGTACAGTAGACTAATGTTCTTGATGAAGTTTCTTTAAGTACTCCAATCACAGAAAGCCTAGACGATGCTTCTACACTGCAGCTTTTAGGTGAGCCTTTCAAGACTGCTGCTACAGAGGGGGCGAATCATATTCGCTGTGCTTTTATTTACCTTGACATCATATCTTTCCTTCAGAAGGTGGCAGGCAGAATGCAGGACCCAAACACAGGACTCTGAGACTGAATGATAAAGTAAAAGCGGCAGTTTTATTGCTGGATAAATTTTTTTTTTTTTTTTTTCCCTCGCCTGTCCCATTTGGTTCTTTAGCCATCAGAATTGTTGTCTGAAGACCAACAAGGATACCCAATGGATTTACTTTGCCAAATGGATCATCGTGGCATTGCCGTATTGGTCCATTTGGTCGATCTTTGTTTTTATTATATTTTATTTTCAGATGTTACAGACGGGACAGACATGAGTGAGGGATAGGAAAGGGAGAAAGAAAGAGGAAGGAAAGGAAAAACAGAAGGGGAGAGGGACAGTGAGAAAGGGGGGGAGAAAAAAAATAAAAATCTCCTGGATCACCTGTTGAGAGAAGAATAGAAAACAAGCAAAAAAAGACAAAACAAAAAAGCAACATACTAAACACAACACCATCGCATTAATCTAGCTAAGTGTAAACAGCAGTAAATACTAAATATTCAATGTTGTTGTGCAGCACGCAGGACAGATGTGCTTCGAAGTAGCAGCCAAGAAAGGTGTAATTTGGGTCTACGAGCAGTGAACACCCGTGTGCATACCTGTATGGATCAGCGCGCTTGTATTCCAAAGGTTTCTCCATGTAACGATCTGCTAGGGAGTGTGGGGGGGCCACTTTAACATGAGATACAAGAAAGCTAAACTAGAAAACCAGGAGACGCTGAACATTACCATAAACACAGAGGAAAACCACAGCACCGTGAGGGTATAACACAGCAAAGAGCAGGGCTTAAATACACCGAGGGATAACGAGGGAAAGAGACACAGAAGGAGAGCACAGCTGGGAGTGATCAGAGCTAACGAGACAAGGGGAATCAAAACCAGACACACTGCACACAGGACAGGGACTATCAAAATAAAACAGGAAACACACGACAGGCACAGAGGCACGAACTTGACACTGAATAGAGGGAACAGGGAGCACAGAGACAGGAGAAACAAACTGCGACATGAGACACGACTGACTGTGGCGCAAGAAAATAAATATGAAGACAGAACTAAACCCACACTAAACATGAGGCCACAGGAACAAAACCTAAGAACTGGAAGTCACAGAACAAAGAAGAACTAGAGAGCTAGAAATACAAAACAGAAACCAAAACACTAGCAGTGATAAACCATGATGACACCAAAAATCAAAGTACAAAACTCAAAACACCGGGTCACTGATCCAGGACCGTGACAAGACCAGAGTGAGCTCTATAGAGCACACAAAATCAGTAAAGAAAAAGAATATGCAGCCCAGCTAATGCCGTCATTTGTTTATCCTTATTTTGAGCAGCAGAAATAAATCCTACTTACTCTGCGTTTATAACAGTGAACCAAAGTAAGGAGCAGGAATAGAAAAAGAAAGAGTTGGCTGAAATGGACATATGTTACTATACGCTAAACTTAGAACTGAGGTCAGCATCGGATGAGAAAATAGTCTACCACTACTACTTCATCCTTAAGTCAGCCTAAATGATAATGAATAAACTCTGTTATTATACTTTTTATTGCATCAAAACAACTTGAAGTCTCTGTAAACAGATTTAATAATGCCTGGTGACTGCAGCAGAGCATCAGCTAGCCTGGGCGTTGGCCTAAAGCTCGGCCAGCAAAAGAAAGAGGAGAGGGAGGGTGTGTGTGTGTGCGTGTGTGTGCACGTGTGCGTCAGCAGGTGTCTTCTTGCAGTGTGTCTGTGTTATGGGGTGTTGGAGCAGCAGCTTCTAGTAATTCTATATGTATTTTCTAGCTTCTTGATGAAGTGTAGGAGGAAGAGATGTTGGCAGTGTTCTGATGCTCATGTCTGTTTTTGTGTTACCACCATATGATGTTACGGTGGTATTTATAGGACTGCGCCAATTATACACGTTCTACTTTGCTAGATTTTCTTCAAATACAAACTACGCGTTTGTTTGCAAAAATCAGTCTTTTATTTTTCAGCGCATTAGCAAAATAAAAGTGACAACTGATTTTCAGCTTCATATTTTTATACTCAAATTCTGCTAGAGTAGCTTTGCGTGGTTTATTGTCCTTGTTGAAGCCCCTCAGTTCAACCTCTGTGTGAAACAAGCTCCGCCCCCTTTAAAACCATCTTTTTTTCCCTTTTAAGTCAGCTTGATTCTAATTGACTGCCCTTCTTCAAACAGAAGATATGACCACCTCCCACCTTGATCAGTGTTTCTAAAGTGATGAGAAAAGAAGATTTAGAAATTGTCAGATGGCCAAATAATGGCCGGGCTTTTGTTTTTATAATGTATTAAAGCGCTGTATTAAAACATCATACTCATATTACTTTATAAGTATTTTTTCAAAGCCTCAACTGCTCTACGGGTGAAGTTTTTCCACGTGGTGAAGACCAACAGTCAGTTCTGGCTCTGCAGTCAGCATTTGTGTCTGTATTACATGTAAAAAGGTTTAGTTTTCCGATCTGAAATGTCACAGGCAAAACTGACACTGACCGTGTGTGTCTGCTCGCGGATGTGTGTGCGTCCGTGTGTGTGTTGGCCGGGACGTCTCTTTCAGTTTGCTAACAAATCTTTACCAGGGACCAGCTCTTCTTATTAGCCTGAAGGAGTTGATTTAGAGAGAGCAGCATTTTTTTTCCAATAAGTGTGAAAGATGTTCCAGGCCATTGATCTCTGACTTCATCTCCCTGTTTAATTCCTCAGTTTGATTTATTTTCCCTGAATGTGAAGACTACTTTCGATACAGACGAAATGCAATTGTTGTCTTTCAACCAGCTCTTAAACTGTTGACAGAACAAACTAATTACTTTTAGGAATAGTCCTTCCTGCTTATGGTACAGCCCATTTCAGAGGATGTTCATTTTTAAATTGTAGAGTTTAAATATGGGCTCGTTTAGTCGTTAAAATAAGAATTTCATTATCAGTGAATGAGACTATTCTTCTTCTATTCTGTTTGACTCAATGGCAAAGAAACAAACCCATTTTCCTGCAGAGTCAATTTTAAAGGCTTCAGTTTCTGACTATTATACCAAAACCTAAAGATGTTCAAATAACGGAAAACAAACAAAATATTTAAATAAAGAACACGAGGCAGAGAAAGGTCAATTAGCCAATGCAAATAAACAAAACAGACATGATTATATATATAAAGTATATACAAAAAAAATACATATGAGAAGATGCAGGTGGAAACAAACAGGTGAAACTAATGAGCCGTAAACCAAGTAACTTCTAGGTTGACCCTGAGTTTTCTGTGTTACAAAAGATGGTCACTTGTTACTAGGATAAATTGAAATGGTGTTTTATGCTGTAACCTAACATGCTGTGGAGCAGAATATGTTTGAGAAAAGAGGTGAACTTCTTTTTTTTATACACTTGCCATCTTTGCTTCACGCCTTTGCTACCTGGGTTCAAATAGGTTACACATTATTATTATTATTATTATTATAGTCATGTTGTCCACACCCCCAAAAAAAGGAAATTGGTTGTTACATTTACAAAAGTCTAACTTGTAATTTGAACAAAATAATTTCCTGTTTCTATGGTGAACGTAATTAAATCATGTGGGATCTGTATGAAATTCAACAACTTGATTTGTTCTTGTCGAGATCACATGATACAATCTAGTAAGAGTGGTTAGTTGCCTTGACTCATGAAATCCACAAGATCACAGGAGATTTCAGACCACAGGAAAATCCCTGGATAAAAGGCAGACAAGACACACTCAGCATCAAGCCTTGTAATCATAGCTTTCCTACTTTTGTTAAGTCTAGATTGACAGCTTTGTGGCGCAGTGGTTAGCATTATTGCCTCACAGCAAGAAGGTCCTGGGTTTTTAATTTGCAGTGGGTACTCTCTGATCTCTATGTATTAAATGGCCTGTATTTGTATAGCGCTTTACTAGTCCCTAAGGACCCCAAAGCGCTTTACACATCCAGTCATCCACCCATTCACACACACATTCACACACTGGTGATGGCAAGCTACATTGTAGCCACAGCCACCCTGGGGCGCACTGACAGAGGCGAGGCTGCCGGACACTGGCGCCCCCGGGCCCTCTGACCACCACGAGTAGGCAGTGTCTTGCCCAAGGACACAACAATCAAGATTACAAGGCGAACGCCCAACTCTTGAGCCACGATCGCCCCATATTAGCCCTATGATAGACTGGCGACCTGTCCAGGGTGTACCCCTATCACATCTATGATAGGCCCGCCCAACCTTGATAAGGTAATAGGATGGATGAAGTGGAAGTTGCTGTAAATCTATTAAAATGTTATGTTAACCACTTTAGACTTTGTTGAACATTATGTAATATGAAGATAACGTGTAGTATTTAAGTGACCGAGTATTCAATAACTTGAATAGTGTTGGATTAAAGTGAGAAAATTGTGAAGGATTAAAATATTCCAAGAGCTCAACTTACTTCATCTAAACATGTTTCAATCACGTTTTATCAACACAAATTGCACAGAGTTTATTAAATATGACTAACTTGTGTTGATTGAACTCAGTTGTTTGTGTTGCTGCCAAAGTGAAACATCTGTGTGCAACCACTGTGTTAAGTAAATCCAACATGTTCTTTTTTTCATTGCAGTCTCACTGATTAAAGTACTTCAAGCGCACACACATTCATGTGGCTCTTGCTGAACTACTGCGTGTTTCCTTTTGCACACACCTCAACTTCTGTGTTGCTCTCAGCCTATTTTTGTGTTATTGCTTCATAATTCTACAAAGAGATGAATTCTTACTCTTATCTTCCTTTATAAAATCAGTTAACCAATCAGAGCTGTGATTGGTCATATATATGTTACCATACCACTAACGCAGATATCCTCAAAAATAGCCTTCTGATAAACATGGATAATGTATGATCAGCTGACTATCTAAAAGGATGTACACTTGAATGTGGATTCAAATAACGGCAATCCAGTATTTGAAAATAACAATATTAACTCGTATCAATCACATTTATTGTTCTCTTTCACTCTAACTTTTAATTCTTGAACCAGAAAAAAAAGAAATCATGTGACTTCTCCTGTCTTTATCTTCTAGGAGTCTGCGCTCGCTCACGTGGAGCTGCCCACCACAGTGGAAACAGTGGAAGCGGCTATAAAGAAACACAAGGACTTCACCACCACCATGGAGCTGAACCTGCACAGGATCAAAGCTGTGATCGAGGCAGGAGAAAGTCTGATCAGCCAGAACAACATCTACTCTGAACGCATTAAGGAGCGCATCGACACTCTTGCCAACAGGTACCACGTGCTGTACATGCAAAACAATATAGAGAAAAGAAATGTAAGTGCTAATAGTCTGAAGTATGAAGTGTGATTAAAAAAAACGACAGAAAGGTGTCTATTAAAAAAATCAAAGCCCTGATCTGATTTCAATTGGACCAAATTTCCCTTTGAGTAAAAACCTTCAACTCATTCAGTGTGATGCAGCTGGTAGGAAGCTGCTGATTTACTGGTCAATCTACATTCAACCATCATCTATGGCCATGAGTTATAGGTAGAGACTGAAAGAGTTGATGGATACAAGCAGTGGAGATGAGCCTTAGAGGTAGCTGGTGCCTCTCCACATCGGAAGGATCCAGTTGAGGTGGTTAGGGCATGTCCAGCTTGTAGGAGGCCCTGGGGCAGACCCAGATGGCATGGGAACGCCTCAGTATCCCTCCAAAAAAGCTGGAGGAGGGAGCCGTGGAGAAGGACCTTAAGAACTACTGACCTTAAGAAAACTTTCTGTGCGTGGTGTGCCAGCACATGATGACACGATCGTTTTGACACGCTCAGCGGAACTGTGCATGGTCAGTTTGACCCTGGGGAACAAATTCTGGTTGCAACATCTCATTAATGTGAAAAAAATATGAGTACAATCCTGATCTTGCAACTCACCCGAAGCGTGACACGAGTTTGGTACTTCCAGGAGCAGTGACCTAAAAATAGCAGCCGGGTTGAAAAATGGTACAGAAAGGTACAGGACGATGATCGTGAGCAAGAGAAGAGCCGAACTGAAATCAGGAAGGTGTTCAGACTTTTATGGGACTGTTCCCGTACATTTTTGATGACAGTTTGTAACTAGAAGCTCTGAAACAGAGGACGGTGATGATCAGTGATTCAGTTTCATTATTGAGGTTTAATGTTAATCAAAAAGGCATAAAAACATTTAAATTCTCTCATTGGCAGCTAACACTGTCTATGAACACATTTAGAATGAATGAAAGTTGGAAGATTTTTGTGTGTAGCTTTACTCTATTGAACTATACCGGTTATATATTTACATAGTGTATATAACAGTAATCTCAAATTATAAACAGGAAAGCACTTCAAGCAGTTGGTAACTTGAAAAAGTTACCTGCTGTTTGTCAAGAGGCCTCAGGCTACTTGTAGTAAACACGGAGTCCCAGCTGTACGTTCTAAAGCAGCGGTCCCCAACCCCCGGGCCACGGACCGGTACCGGGCCGTGAGAGTTGAGGCTCGGGTGTGAAATTTATGGTTTTCAGGGTTTTTATCTTTTTTGTTTGTTTTGTTTTTAATTGTTTTTCTCATTAACTCGTTTCCCTGGGTCTCTTCCCGTTTGTTATGAATAGATCTTATTTTTTTTGGTACCGGTACTGGTTTTATTTTGTTGTACTTATCCGTGACACCTTAAAGGCCGGTCCGTGAAAATATTGTCGGACATAAACCGGTCCGTAGCGCAAAAACTGCCGCGCTAACATAATACAAAGAATAATTGCAGCTAAAGGATTTAAATCAAAGCAAGAGCAAGACAAAAGACAGAAAGCAGAGTGTGGTGTGTTTGGTCCAGGACTGACACCCGTCCGTGAAATCTCTGTGAAAGCTGAGATTGTGCAGCGTGTTGTGTGAGGGGGGTGGGGCTGGTTATTTGTGGCTATAGATTTCTATGTGTATCCTCACAATAGAAATGAGAAGAAGCATATGTTGTTGTTTTTGTGCTGGAGACAGACAAATGAACACAGCACAGTGCAATTTATGGACTTTATTTAGCTCACATAATAATTACTGCATTAGCTTTTGTTAGAAATAAAGTGATTATATTTTACTTTATCTACAGTTAACAGCAGTAAACATGGATCTCTTTTAGCAACATTACCATGTCTCTCTGATACTGATCACGCTTGTGGAATATTTTATAATCGACAGCAATCGTAGAGATTGTTGGGCACATACTCAGTTAACCACTCTTATAATGCGTAACACTAAGCCTAAATCTGATGTAAATACCTAATGCTTCTAATGTACACACACATCTAAACAACTGAAATTAAATCAGAGTTATTTTGACTGAAGTCTCCTTTTCCTTTGCTTTTTCAGGGGAAACAAGAACAGAGGGCTGGCCCAGCAGTGGCTGGAAAAACTGAATGACCAGTGGGAACTTCAGAGGTTTCTCCAGGACTGTCATGAGGTAAAAGGCTAAAAATTCAGTTCAATTTAATTCAGCTTTATTTATATAGCGCCAAATCACAACAGTCTCCTCAAGGCGCTTAATACTGTATGATAAGGCCCTACGTTAATAGAGAGGAAAACCCCAAAAATCTGTGTTTGTTTATCAGTTTCTTCCCTGTTCTTTAGATTCAAAAGTAAACATCTCTTCAAGTTACTGCAGAGATTTTGCTGGCTCAGAATGGGCCTTTGGGGGCTGACTATGCACATGGCCGTCATACAGTAAAGACAAGGGGTTATGAAAGAAAACAAAGCGTTCTCCTGCTATTTCACACCATTTCATAGCCAAAAATGTATTTTATGCTCTAGCTAATGAAGCCTCGGTTAGCAAAACTGGTTAAAAAGAATTATTGAAATATTTTTGTTTTTGGGGGAGGTGTTATGTTCCTCAAAATGTCCTTTATGTGTAGCTTTATGCTGTGCAAACACATGCTAACAGTGAGCGGAGATACAAATGGAGTCTGAGCATGCCCGCTTTAATCATACTGCTATTGTTGGAAAGTATCATTGATATGGTCCACACCTCCTGCGTGTGTGTGTGTGTGTGTGTGTGTGTGTGTGTGTGTGTGTGTGTGTGTGTGTGTGTGTTTACGCTGCACACGGCTCCCCTCTGCTCGCCCCTGCAGTTTTTGCTCTCTCACCCAGCAGAGTCACCTCCTTCTGGGCCAAAACCATGTGTAGTTTCAGCAACTTTCTCTCTTTGTGCCTCCTGCATAATTCAGCAGCTCAGTCCCTCATCACTAATTCAAAGGAGGAAGAGTGTATCTCACTGTATACATGAGTGTGCGTGTGTGCGTGTGTCAAAGTCTTGTTTATGTGTGTACATGAAGCGTTGAATGCATATCTCTAGAAACACAGCATGCAAAAGGAGGCTGAGTGTGTGTCGGTGTGTCCGTAAGTGTGTGTGTGTGTGTACAGTGGATGAGTGACACTGCGTCAGTCTGTAGGAACCTGAGCTCTCTGCTAGCAGGGTGTGTTCTTCTGTTCGGGCCAGGCTGCGTCCTCGTGCTTCCTGTTACTCACTGCTGCTCTCTATCCACTGGCTGACATATTTACAACAAAATCCGATAGTTTTATCCAAAATTGCATCACATATACAGTTTATACTGAACGCTTCGGTCTGGTCGGTGGGGTAGATGAAGGACACCCCTGTATTCAGCACTTTGATCATACTTGCACCGCAGGATCTTTAGCGAGTGTTCCTGGATTTTGTTCTTTGTGCTTTTACCTATTTCACCATCTGTGAATTTCAGCACTTCCTTTCTTCTCACCTAACGTTGAGGTGAGAGACTAAACAAAGTACCTCTCTTTTGCTCCGACTTGTAAAGAAAACCACTAACTGATTTAGGAGTGGTTGGTAAACACTTTATAGGATCACCCATAATACCAGGTGCTTACTAGCAACTGTCAGCCCCAAAGCCATGTACCACTTTATTTGTGGACAGAGCAGTTCAACATGAAATGACCGTATAAAAATATATTTCTTTAAAGGATTGATATACTTTTTTATAATTTGTGCAGAAGTTTGTGCATTTATTAAAATATCCTGTAGAGTCTAGGAGGTTGTGGCTGATGAATATTTTGGAAATACCCTGGACAATCCATATGAAGGGGAGATGGAAAGGAGCAGGGCTACAGGACAGATGGTGTTACAGGGTGGTGATGGTGGGCCCCTCAGTGAACTTGCACATGTGACACTGTATCAGGAAATAGTGGCTGCATGTTGTCAACGTCAGCCCAAAAAAAGCTGAAAAGAACAAAGCTGATTTTTCTCCTCTTGCATCTTTACAGTTTCCCATCAGCCTGTCTCTTCCACTTTTTCCACAGTCCAACAATGTCTTCAGGACAAAAGGGGACCAAAGAAGTACACTGAGTTACAGATCATGCAGTGGCTTTTCACCTGGATTCCCTTCCTGAACTGTTCTCAGTAAAGAGCAGGTGTATGCCCAGAGGCTGACAGGCTAAATATAGTGGGTATCTATAAAGATAGATGTAGCACATGTTAAGTTACTCTGTAAATGCCCTCAAGCCTGCCAGTGCTTTTGCTTTGTCACAGAGGCTTTTAGATTGGATGACTTTTTGCATGCTGAGGAGGAAAAGTACTGAGTTTGATATTCCTGATATCTTGAGCCTTTTGTGGTCTCTTTCATAGAATATCTGCAGTGAACTAGCATTAGCCCTGAACTCATTGGGTCTTCTCATTTAATGACACTGTTGTCTTCTGCCATCAACAAAGTGGGCAATGCAATGCATTTTGTAATTGCATGTAGGAATCGGCACATTAGAATGTGTGACAGTGTATTTGGAGTGCAAAAAAAGACATCAACAGCTGTAGCCAAGCCCAGAAAAGGAATCACACCTCTGAGTGTCAAAAGCCCTGTTTATGCTGACGCTGTGACAGGGCAGAGTCAGATCTGCATTGGTGTCTAATGAGAAACACTATATTTTTACAAGTTGAATAAATACATAGGATTACTTGCAGAAGCTGGATTAACTTTAGAAGGAAGAAGATCACGGCAGACAGAATCTTTGAGCGGCATTGGTCAGTCAGTGGAGAGCTTCTAGCATTAATCCCTCCTATAAACACTTCTATGGTCACATGGTTCCAACATCAGCTCCAGTAAAGTTGTGGTGACGCCTTATTGACATCACTATCAGTTCTTTGTTGATGAAAATTCGTGGAGCTGGTTCTAAATTTGTCCTCAGCATTGACACTGGCATCACATTAGAGAGACCGACTGCGAGATTGGGAAAGTTTTAAAGGGCCTCAGGTGTTGCTCATCCTGCTGATAACCTTTCATTTAGCATCTGCGGGCGAAAAAAGAAACAGCGATACTTCGAGCCTTTGGTTCTTCACAGACACTACCACACATCAGCATAGCTACACCTGTGTTTTGTGAAAAAGTGTGACGTATAGAAATGTAATTTTAGTCTTTATCCAAACATTCTCCTTAAGTCCATTGCTTTAAAACCTAAACACACACACACAGTTTTCCAAGGTGGCTTTCCTGATGTACATTTTTTTTATGTCTATCAGTGGAAAATTAGGGGACAGTGATGAAGTAGTGATGAAGCCTGATAGCATGATGATGACTCTGAGTCTTCCTTTGACCCTCTTCTTTCTTCCATTACGCCCCACCCCGTCCCTCTCTTTGCTTTTTACGTCAGCTGTTCATTCATCCTTCCCCCAATGCACCTAAAAGCTCTCCTCCTCCTTGCTCATTCATTTCATTTACACTCTCTAGAGGCATCAGCCTGTGACCCTCCATGACCGCTATAGTTGCAGGCTGTGTGTGTGTGTGTGTGTGTGTGTGTGTGTGTGCACCCATGACCTTTGCAAGTAAGTGGCACACACACATCTGTCTGCAAATTCATGTATGTGTGCAAATATGTGAGGCCTGTTACCTGTCTGTTCTGTGTGATGATAGGTGAAGGATGATGTGACAGATTGAGGGAAAGTGGACTGAAATCTGACCGTGGCCTGTTTAAGGAAAGGGGAGCAGTAGAGCCGTCAAACATATAAATATATCATTCAGTCATTCCCTACCTCTCTGCCCATTATCAGCCCCCTTCTTTTTAGTGTCCCTTTGCTGTTTCTCTCTCGCTGTTCTCTGTGCTTTACCACTGCAGCAGTGTCAGGCAAGCTGGAGACAGAGAGTGCAGCTGCCTGGGACTGCTGCAGAGAGGAAGAGAGGGATGATAGAAGAAGGTGATGTACATGGAGAGGGAGGAGAAGATGAAACAAAAGCAGCTGTAGAAGAGTCGTGAGCTCAGCTGTTAATGCACACTGATGGGCTTCAATCAGTTAAAGCTTTGAGCCCCTCTCATTCATCCATCTTCGTGCACCAAGTCCACACCCGCCCCTCCGCCTTCCCCAGCTCGGCATCATTAGCCGTGACCGGTGAGCCCGGAGGCTTTGCTCCCCCTGCCCCCCTAAAAATTCTAATCCCAGGCTTTAGCTCCTCCCTCTCCTCTCCTTATACACTTCATCTCTTCTCCAACCAGCTGATTGGCTCACTCGCTCACTCAGCTGCCCGCTCGCTGAAGGTGTGAGGAAAGGGGAGGGGCGCCCGCGTACTGGCTCGGCTGCCTGCCATTTTATTGTTTTGGGAAGGAGGGGTTCTTTTTCTTCTTCTCTCAGTCATCCTCACTCTTTCCCTCGTCACTGTTCTGCCCCCGCCCCTCCTCTCTCTCCTGTTTGAGTGCAAGAAAGAGACAGAGCGAGAGGAAAGAGAGGGTAGCGCAGCCTCAGTTTGAAGTCTCCAGTCTGTCTCTTCTCTCCAGGATTGTTGTTATTTACCCTCCTGCCTGGCGTTTTCCCTTCACCTTTGCATCACTGCCCAGGGTATTTGGCTCTGCAGAAGGCACCCCTCAACTCTTTCCGTCCTCTCTTTTCTTTTTTTCTTTCTGGCTCTGCGGTGAAGAGCATCTTTGCATGCGTGTGACAGCAGACGAGCGAGGATGCGGATACCAGCGGCTGCCTGCAGCTGCCACAACCCCGTGGGCTGCTGATCTTAAACACTGCCGGTAAACTGGTTATTCTATTTGCATATCTGGTTTAGGTGCGGGGCTGGCGGTGCAGGTGGAAATATTACACGCAGGAATGAGAATGTTGATGAGGAAGAGACGAGGGAGCCGATGCTGACCTGAATATTTTGGTGATGCTCTCAGCGCAGGCGTGAGGCTCTTTTTTTTTTTTTTTTTTTTTTTTTTCACCGTTTGCCTCTCGCAGATGGGCCCCGTGTGGAAAATGTACACATTTTACTCTTTGATGGAGAGCGGGGGTGTGCGTGTGTAGGGGGGTGATTTCTGCATGGGTGTGTTGAAGCTGAGGATACTGTCTGTGAGGGGTTGTGCACATGTAGATCCCTGCCGCCATGCTTGTTGGTACACGTGTGTCTGCTTACATGTGCTTGCTGTGCATCATTAAATTTTAATGTGTGTGTGTTTGACCTTGTTTAGTTACAGTGCACCTTATTTATAATTCAGTTTTTCTGCATAACAAATTAATGGAATCATATATGCATGAATTAGAATAATATATGTACCTACTGATGAATGCTTTGGTCTGGTCACGTCTTTTAAAGTGAGGAATTCCTCTGTGCAGCATCAGCTCCTCAGTTATTTACTGTAACTGTCCTGTACTGACAACTCCTTCTGTATCTGTGTCTCTCACCCAGCTGGGGGATTGGGTGTATGAGAAGATGCTAATGGCGAGGGACAGCAGTCGAGACGAGACCCAGAAGCTTCATAAGAAATGGCTGAAGCACCAGGCTTTTATGGCCGAGTTGGCCCAGAATAAGGAATGGCTGGACAAAATTGAAAAGGTAAGTGCAGCTGGCCGTCCCAGTGATGTAGCCTCGCAGGCACATTTCCTTTTACAGTGTCACTCTGTTTTTGTTTTGTTTTTTTGTCCATTCAATTTTTTTTTTATAGTGCAACTCTGAAATTTACTGCAAATATTATGGCATAGAGTCTGACTTTGACCTAAGTCAAGATAGACACAGAGTAAATGACAAAAGAGTATTTCATGTGGACTTTGACCTACTGATGTAGTGATGTAACAACACCTGTGATTTTCTTGGGTTCCTCTAATATCTTAGCAACATCTCCTGGGGCACTTTTGCTCTTTCTCTTGTGACTCTCTCACAATTTGTGTGACTTTAATATGAATAATGGCAATACATGTATCCATAATTGTCGTAATACTATCCAAATGTCATGTATGAAAGCCATCTACCATACATGCAAAACCTTACTCAGGAAGCGTTTGAGCAGCTAATCTCTGTGCAGGTGGACAGAACGGTCAAATCTCTAGTCAGCATGACTTACCTACACAATAATGGATACAGGAAGTTGCAAATTGTGAGAAAGTTGAAAAGATTGGAGCGTTTTTCGTTCATCGATGCGTGCCGTCATCAGAGCAGAACAAATGCTCTCAGTGCAACACCGGAAAAGCAGATGTTTACACAGAGTTGTGTTTCTAAAATTTCTTTAGGCATCAATGGTTTTCTGTTGTTTATACTACAGAATATGGCATCTTTTGTGTGTATTTTTATTTGGAAAATTATTCAGGAATTAACTGTCTCGAAGTGTTCCTGAAATTCCCTCTCCATCTTAATTTTGAAATGTAAACGATGGGTTCCAAATTCAGGCTTGTTGTACGTAGGTCGGATTAAGTTAAACACAGGAACAGATACAACATGCACATTTGATAAAAATGGCATTTTTAGTAGAATTATATACCAACGTAACAAAAAAATGGTTCAGATTATGAGTAAATAATAGAAATGTGGTTGACATAATGAACTAATTCCCAGGAAATTGCTCTTGTTTTGTTTGCTGTCACGTAGCTTGTTGCTCTGGAAAGTGAAAACTAGGCCTCTTTGCAATTTTACCAATGAGCCTCCGGTTTAAAAAGCTTTTAGGAACAAAAGATGAAGACTGCTGTACATATGGGAACAAAAGAAAAGATGTGTTTTACTATTCACTGAATCATTTTGGCTTTGTGTGTGTGTGTGTGTGTGTGTGTGTGTGTGTGTGTGTGTGTGTTTGTGTGTGTGTGTGTGTGTGTGTGTGTGTCTTGTATTAGCTGGTGATATATCTCTGTTTTAAAAACACCCGTTAAAGGATTTTGCAGAAGGTTCAGATGCATTAGAATCATTTTGAAGATTGAAAATGACCCTCAATGCCATATTTGTTGTAAACTGATTCATGCATTAGTCCTTGTATTAAACACTCAAGTACAAAACTTACTTAATCAAAGCGTAACGAAGCCTGTGGCAAGGGCAGAAAGTATTACAGAGGGGTTTTTAAATAGGCAGGGGAGCGCCGCAGCCCTCTGTGCTGCTCGCTGTCCTGATACGATCTGTTTCGTATTAAGGAGATTTATACAGCACATCAGCCTCTCGTCTAAAGCTGCGGATGTAATTGGGTTAGCCAGTGTTTCCCAGGCTGCATGTCAAGGTTGCACATGTTTGACTTTGAGCGGTTGTGTTAAGGGCTCTGATTGCCTGCAGTGACATAAATCTGGATGCACTGGTCAGTAGAGCTGTAGTCCATGCATCATTTAGCAGTCGCTATCGCATCACTGTGTTTAGTGGCTCCTTGTGACTGCTTTGTGTGCTTCTGTGAGTAAAGAAGGTGATACTTCAAGACATATGTTTATCCTGGAATATGCTGTAATACCACAGAAAGCTTTCAGTTTAATCGCACTATGTTGTTCTTATGTTTTTTGTTTTTATTATTATTACCAATAAACTTGATAAATTAAAAATAATATGAGTAACTGACATGACTTTTTTTGTTTATCGGCCAACATGGAATCTCTCTGGTCATCTCTGATAAAAAGCCAGAGAGATTATCGTCTGTGTAAAATATGTTTATGATACTCATGCACAATTTGTGGTTCTGCATTGGTGCCTGCTTGCATTGGGCTTGTGCGAACTCAATAAACACAGAGGCTACGGGGACATGCTCCATGCAATCCCTCAAAAAGAGATGATGACACTCTGCATACGATGAGTGCTGAATAGTTGAAAAGTTGGTTTGCAAAGTGCCACAATAGTCCAGCAGCGGACACTTTTCTTTGTTATGACACTTTTGTTTTTGCAGCTTATGTTGACCACAGACTTTTTTCTTATTTTAACCTTTATTTAATCAGAAAGTGAAACCCTTGAAATAAGGAATATCTTTGGTCAGCGTTAACCTAGTGTGTTATTAAATGCCAAGGTAAAACCATCTCTGACACATATTTTTCCCCATACTTTTGAAGATTAAACGAAGAAATTCAAATGCCACACAGAATAACTCTGCCTGGTCTGGAACAAGGATCTGCTCGCTGTCAGGCAGTGGTGCTAACCGCTGAGCTGCTGTGTTTAAACACTATGTAAAAAACAAAACAAAACAGTGACTTTGAGACAAAGAAATCACTCATGCAAAATGCTAATTTCGGGTTGTTGTGCCCGGAAATTATCATTTTAATCCATTATGGTCGATATTGCGATGAAGTTGATACTCTTCTGATCTACCGAGGCTTATTAACACCATCAGGGCAAGTATATGGTTGCGTTCGGCGCTTGCCAGTAGAAAATTAGATATTGTATGTGATGGCCCTGCAGAATGACAGCCAAAAGAAATTTGACAGGACACATGGACATCGATGGACCCATATGGGCTGTTGTAGAAAATGAAACATGCAACTGTTTAGTAAGCAGGCTGCAGTTATATCTGATGGACTGTATGGTATAAACAAATCCTGGCAGTGCATCTGCTCTGAGGAAATACAGAGAGATACAGTATTTCTAGTGAAGCGACAACATTGACACTACATTTATTATCATCAGTCTGAGCTCTTATGCTGATAACTGAAACCTGAAAAAGGCTATGCCGAGTGTATTGTGGTTCAGTCATATCACATCACAATGAAGGGGCACCACTGACCATGGCATAGTGGCTCAATCCTCTGCAGTGTCATACTGGGCAGGGCTAAACGTGAACGCCCCTGCAGGAAGCAGAGGGAACTGAATCAAGGCACAACACTCATATTTGTGCACATACTGTACTGTAAAGCATAAATTCTTGATATGTTGGGGCGAGAACAGAAATGATTAAGTATCTGTTTAAAGACAGTTAAGTGGCAACTAGTCTTATAACTGTCCAACAAAAATGCAAATTATTTGAAATTTCCACCTGATGAAATATGAGAAATTGTAGCTCTGCCTTATCTTACTGAATAGTGAGTAGGATTTCAGGATCTACCCGCATCTCATCCTGTGACAGCTGGAATAGCCTCCAGCTCCCCTGTGACCCTAAAGTGGATAAGCAAAAGTAGATGGATGGATGGGCTCTAATAAAAGTAACTGACTGTCAAAATAAAAATCGCCAATTGCGGGTGAAATAACACCAGCGACATGAAGTAGGAAGGGCCGGAGATAAACTTTTATAAATTTTCAGGCGAGCACTTGAAGCGACCACCAATGAAAGGACAGAATACCATGGATTGACATATGACCTAGTTGTAAATACATTATATTGTTACCTAGGCAACCAGGCCCTGGAATGTCCAGAAGCAACCAATAGTCAGCCTCAAAGCATTTACGCAGCGTTAGGGATGAGTAGTATTTGCACAACCATAAAGGTCACCGTTCAAAAACAAAATGCTGTTGCTGTCATGTGACTTTCATGTTTCATGTGGGCGATCGTGGCTCAAGAGTTGGTAGCTCGTCTTGTAATCGGAAGGTTGCCGGTTCGAGCCCCGGCTTGGACAGTCTCGGTCGTTGTGTCCTTGGGCGAGACACTTGGGCGAGACACTTCACCCGTTGCCTACTGGTGGTGGTCAGAGGGCCCGGTGGCGCCAGTGTCCGGCAGCCTCGCCTCTGTCAGTGCACCCCAGGGTGGCTGTGGCTACAATGTAGCTTGCCATCACCAGTGTGTGAATCGGTGGATGACTGAACGTGTAAAGCGCTTTGGGGTCCTTAGGGACTAGTAAAGCGCTATACAAATACAGGCCATTTACCATTTTACATTATGTCTGTGTCCTCGTCCAATCAGCTCGATGTAAGATAGCGGATGATGGCTGGTAACGTAGGCAGCTGCACATATTTCTGTCCTTCAAGCTGCTCATTTTGTCTGATTACTTTCTTCTCCTACAGTGGGAACTGTGAGGTTGGTATATGCTAATACACATGAGCCAGGTTGCAGAGTCCTAACATATCATAACACGGGCTGCTTCACTGTTGAGGGTGCAGCACTGCATGTTCTGACCACAGAGCTCTTTCTGTTGCACATTTAGGGGTCACATGCATTTAGGGAACATGCTCTGAGGGTAGATTTAGGTTACTGCACAATGCTTACAGATGGAGAAGGAGATGATGAAGAGACAGATGAGAAACAGAGAGTTTCTGAATTGTTTGATAATAAGCAAAAGTGGTGAATTGAGACCATGTTTCTGCCCCAGTCACTCACCTTTTAGAGTTGATATCACATATTAAACCAGGGTCCTCGAGGAAAAAAACTAATGGAGCGTATTTTTGTTAGTGTTTGTAACGCAATCTGGGATAAATAATCAGTGTAAATAATGATTAGACAAAAAATACACTGTGACTACACTGGAAAACAATTTAAAGGTAGCTTATGTTGCTGTTGTTAAGACACACCACATATGCTACCACTTTGATGTATAAAAGCGTCCACTGCAGTTTTAACGCCCACAAGCTGAAGTATCAGAATAATGCTAAGTGCATTTCTTTGCTTTCATCTTCAGAGGAAAATATGTAGTCCGGCTGTCAGTAATGAACAATAACAGCCTACATGTTTGGTTTTATTT